TGTCTTCTCTTTCCTTCGTTCACATTTCTTTTATTATGGGACACTTTCGTTATTTTTTTTAACGGTGTCTAAAAAGAAATCTGCGGTTTATAAACAGTGTTTTAATTTTTAGGCAAAAGTTGTAAATTATTAAAAAATTGTTATACCCAGAAGGGTAATAGCAGAGAATTACAGTCGGAGCAATTGAAAAAAGCTTCGTTACATTACACTTTTTTAATGTAACTCTACCTTTATTAAAGTGAAAGCTACGCCTTTCAAAAAACTTTTCAAGGTTTTCCCCTCTATATTATACCTTTCACAGACCGAAGAAAGGATCCCGCTTCAATAGTTTTACTTATTTTTAAAATAATAGAAAAAGTCTTTAAATTAGCAACGGAAGCTTGTAGTAAAGAACCTAAAAATTTATTTTTAATTAGAGTAAAGTAACAGTTTGTGTAGTTCTTGTTCCTTATACATTTATAGTAAGTCCTTTTGAAACGTTTCTAAAAATAGCTAAGGCAACCGATTTTAATTATACTATTTAAATACTATTATCAATTTTTTTTAAATAATCTATTTGAAAGTAGGCGAGGAAATTTATTCACTTGTGTGAAGAATAACTTTGAAATAGTTAAGCATACAAATTATTTTACAATATATTCTTTTATTGTATAACCAAAATTACGTGGACTCTCTCCTGGATTACTTCAGATTCTTTAAATTTTACAAGTATATACTATATATTTCGTATAAACTCCAAAGAAATATAATATGTATGGTGAAGTAGTCGTAGTTAGGTATTTTGTTCCATTCTGGCTTTTATGATTTCGTGTACATCTATTTAAAGACAAAATTATAAGTTACTAGCGCACTCCTTTTAAAGCGCTAAGGCAGTAACGTATGACAAAAGATGTTTTTATACTGCACAAGCCAGAAGTAATGGTTTGAAAAATTAACACGTAAAACTTTGCTATTGCGTTATGGGAATAATAGATTAATTAATATATTTTTTACATAATAATAAAAAGTTAAAAGAAAAAAACGTCAGAATAAAAAGTAAAGTTATCTTTATTGTATTATTTTTTTATAAAAATTCAACTCTAAAATAAAATATATTTAAATAAAAATATTGTTAACCAAAATAGAAAGTTGATCATAGAGTATATTGTTAACAATAAAAAATGTGCGATTCACAACAGATAAAAAAAGTCGTTATTTTTAATAAAATGATTTCATTAAAAATTTAATAGATATTGTCTCTAAAAAGAATAATTATACAGTAAAGATACATTTTTTTGGTATTTCAAAAATAGTATAAACTAAAAAACATTGCTTTAAACAAACAAACAAGAATCAAAAGTAAAGTTGTTTTTAACACAATATGTATTTATAATTTGAACTCTAGCAAAAATAATTTGCAGGTATTATTTTTATAATTAAAAACCCAGTCTTTAGCAATAATTTTACAAAAAAAAGTTAATTACATTCAATAAGAGTAAAAGCAAAGCTGTCTTTGACTGTGTTTATTTTTTAATAATACAAAATATAATTGCAATTGAAAAAGAAATAGAAAGTAAAGTTTTTTATATTGTCGCCTAAACATAATAATGAATTTATTTTCTAGTAAAAATGATACAAATAGTAAATCTAAAATTCACTATAAAAGTAAAAAGTAAAGTAGTTTTTAACTTATTATATATATAAATAATAAAAAAGTTAAAGTTTTTAGCAAATATAATACAAATACCGAAGCATTTGTATTTTACAACAAAAATAAAAAGTTAAGTTGTTTTTAAGATACTATTTTATAAATCTCTTCTCGCAGCAGGGAGGAAATATTTCTTTAGTTCTTTGAATTGGATTAAGTGACTCTTTGTTCTGCATAAAGCTAGCAAGCACAGAGTTAGCTAACAAAAAAAATTATCAAGTTCTTATTAATCATTGTGCTGAATATGCCGTTACTAAACTAACAATACAACAGTAAAAAAGTCTTATCGGGAAACATTTTAAAGTTAAAATCTATGGCTCAGTTAACTAAATCTTTTTCGTGTCAAACATCATAAATAAAAACGCTAATCTTGTTTTAAAGTATATTAATAAATAAAACCTAGCTAGAGCCCTCTACTCTGTTCTAAGCAACCATAGTAGATACTATAGTTTTTATATACTTTTAATAAAAACACTCGACTGATACAAAGTTAACTTAAAATTGAAGTATCTTGCAAGTATTTTAATATCAATAATTTACTTTACAAAATTTTTTTACTATTGATAACTTCACGCTTATTTCTTTTTAAAAAAATTAGCACGTCATCGAAGGTCTCTCATACAAAGAATCTTAAAGCATGGTTTGTTTAACTCCACAATGATTCACGCGTGTAAAAAAAAGGCTATACAGCCCAACAGAGAAGGGAGGAGCGACCAAACTCAGTGCCCGTAGAGAAAGAGATACATAAAGTGGTCATCCACAATGTGAAACAGAAAAAACACGTGGTACACGCGCATAATCTATCAGCGCTAACATTAGGTACACTACTATCCTCTTACGAGTAGGTGATGACTGTCTAGTCCACTACAAAAAATATAGAGAAAAGCGATGGGTGCCATTTTCCATATTAGTTCAAGGCAGGTTCTCAAAAAAACCTGGGAAAGACAACTTGGATACATGAAGAGAATGTCACAGAGACTTGCTAAAAAATATTACCCAACCAGGAGTAATTTATATAGTACTAATAGTGCTGTGTAACCCTATCTTAACCCTTACTCTCTACTGAGCAGTAAATACTTACAAATTTTAAGTGTTCGATTAGATTCTTAAATGCGTAGCCTATCGAATTGACTGCAGCGCTTAAAACAATAAAAGTGATTAAAAAAAAAAAGGAAGTTTCGTTGAACTATTTTGCGGTTGCACCAAACGACAAAGGCAAGAGACTGGAAGTGTAGGCTCCTTCGATAATACATAAATCTATAATTAACTTAAATATGGTAGTGTGCGTACAACGAGGTTTCTTACTTAAATCCTTGGTGAATTTGAGTAGGGTTATAAAATAAAATTTAATTTAAAAAAAATAGAGAATAAGTTTTATAATCTTTATAATTGATTATAAGTAATTATTTATAATGCTTAAATAAAATGAAAATTGTAATAAACTTAATTACACAAAAAAATAAAAATTTTTATAATGAAATAAGTTTGAAGCTAAACATTATTGGTGAATTATTTTAGAAAAATACAATTAATTATATTAAAGAACTTTTGAAGAGCTATTAAAAAAAAAATGAAAACTTATTAAACTTTTTTCATAATATACACAAAACTTCAAGATTAAATTTAAATAAGTTTAAAATTAATAAAATAAGGGAAAATAAAATACAAAAAAATTTGAGCAGAACTTAAAGAATTTTATAAGGGGCTAAAAAAATTAAGTAGAGATTTGTTAACCTTTTTATGATTTTGTAAAGTTAAAAAATTCCTTATAATAAGTAAATTAGTTAAAAAAAACCAAAAAAATTAAGCCATACTTGCAGCACTTTTACGTCGCTTAAAAAGTTTAAAACTATACATTACACAAAGATAAATAATAGTGGTGGAAAAATAAGTGCTTCTTTGTTTTAATTAAAAATCTTAAAAAAAAATAAAAAGAGAAAACTTAAGGAATTTTAAAGTTGCTAAAAAATATTTAGTAGAAGTTTATTAAATTTCATTAATTTTAAAAAAAAAATAATTATAAAGCAAACCAATTAAATAAGTTTCATTAGAAATTTGTGAATCTTATAGTTTACTCAGAATTTAAAACTTAGCTACTAAAAAAAAAAGTTAAAGGTTTCAGAAATTAATGAATTAATTATTTATAAAAAAACAAAACTAAACAAAAAAAAAATTTGTAAATTTCAGGTACTTGAAAAATTTAATTTAATGACTGCAACGAGAATTTAAAAGTTGAGGCTGAAGTTCTACCGCTTAAGATTATAAAATTTTATAAAAAAAATATGCAGAGCAACCTGGTTTAATGAAAGTATTTAACAGAAACAATGAGCAATTTAAGAAAATAAATGTGTTGTTCTAAACTCCCATTCCCGTAGTTCTTGACTAAAGAGTCTTAATTATATATAATAATAGGATAGCAAGAGTAGAACTCTATTGAATTACTTCGCAATGAACCAGAAAAATATTAATCTAATAGGCAACTCCTTCACTGATGGTTTTATACGCTTTTGGTGCGCACGCCCATATAAACATGTTTATTGTTACATAATTTCAAAAAACCATTAAATAAACGGCTCAAAAAATAATAACAAGGGAAAAAAAAGGGGCAAGAGGAGGAAGCAAATCGAGATAAATTAAAAACTTAAACTATAGAGAAAAATATATACTAGTATTGGCGCCTGACTTAGGAAACAAGATTCTAATAGGCTAAATACTACCAAAACCACAAAATAATGGGTAATTAAGGATATTCCCGAATATTTCTAATTTTCCCAAAGAATTCGTAAATTTAACGTGTAAAAGCGATACAAATCCGATCACTCCTTTTCCTTTGCTTATCTTTATAAAAAAGTTATATAAACTTAACTTAATAACTACAAAAATTTATATAAGAAATAATCAATTTGTACTTAAACTGCGCTCACCTGATTGAGAGCTGGAGTTTCGAAGTTTTTTGACAAGAGCCAGCATCGGGAAATGCCATTTTATAAGTAAATAAATAAAGAGAACCCTCTGCTTTCTTGGTAATTTTAACTATTATATGGAAGCCCAGTAGCTATTATCGAACGTTTTTAATTGATACCAATGTTTTTCACACGCAATCCTTAAGTAACTATTAACTAGGTGCGTACTTATCCGTGATGCACCATTGGATGCAATTTACTAATGGACAATAAAATTTAGAAATATAAAAATAAATAAAAACTGCGAAGGCTATAAAAAAAATAATTTCTATTTGACAATATAAAAAGGTAAATTAATATTTAAAATGAATTGAATTAAAAAATAAAAATAAATATAAAAATTTATTATTCTATGCGATTATTTTTCTAATATTTCCACCAGCTATAGAATATCCAGAAGAATGAAACTGTTCGCTATTGAAAAATGGATGCAAATCTTTGAGTTGGAAACTTCGAATCTTATAAAATAAACATTTTAAATTAAAGTTAAAAAAATTACATTCTCGATGTAAAAATAATATATTTTTTAAAAATTCTCAAGAAAATAGTTAAACGACAAAGGCGGAAGTTATAAATAAAACAAGTATATTATTAAAAAAAAATAAAAATATTGATTTTGAGATGAACATTTTGAACCTACAGTATATAAAAATATAATAACTGTATGAAAAAAAAATTAAAAAAAAGACAATTAATTTATTTTTGTAAATTTCAATAAAAAAGGACGAGATTTTAAAACGCAAAGTAAAAAGTAAATTATTAAAAAAAACATATTGAAATCTTTGAGACAAATTTGGGATTTAAAAAAAAAGTACTGATACTTTAATTAAAAATATATGAAAAAAAAATTATTAAAGTTAACGTATACATAAAATTTCCGGGTAAAAAATAGACGAAACTTCAAGATGCAGATATTAATATAAAAACAAAACGGGATCAAACCTTTAATGTGAAAATTTAAATAGTAATAATAAATTAAGTAGAGTTGATTTAAAATTTAAAAGAAAAAAAAGTTGAATTATAAAATTTTTAATTTTGCATAAAAATAGTTGAAACAAAAACGAAAATTAAAAATTAAAGAAAATTAAATAATAAATTAAAACGAATTAAAATCTCTAAGAAAAAAATTTTGAATATGCCAAGAAATAGAATTAATTTAAATTAAAATTGAATTAAATTATTTATAAATTTCCAAAAAAAAAATTAACGTAACTTTAAAACGGAAATTATTAATAAAATAAAACATTTTTTTTTTTAAAAATTAAAATAAAAAATGAAGTTTCGAATTTACCAAAAAATAAAATTAAAAATTGTTATAAAAATTTAAGAAAAATAAACAAACTAAATTTCCTTAAAAAAAATGAATAATTAAACAAATTTAGATATTAATAAAAAACGGATCCAAAACTTTATAATTAATATTTCGAATATAACAATTTATAAAGTTAAAGTTAATAATAAAAATAAAAACTTGAGTAAAAGAAAAAAATTGATACTTATAGTTTAAAAAAATATATAAAAATAAAAACATATCACAAAGTATTATTATAAAAGTATATATATATAACTTGTAAGAAATATAAAATTTTATAAATTTTTATAATATAGCCATTTATAGAAAAATAAAAATATTAATTAATTTATTTCCTAATACACTTTTACTAAAAATATAATAAAACTTCTATAAGGTACCAAAAAAGAAATTTCAAACAAAGTTCAAATAGTAATAAAAACCGATTTAAATTTTTTTATTTTAGATAAAATTTCGAATTTTACAAAAAATAGAAATAATTAGATTAGAAATAATAAATTTGTTTTTTGATAAGCTAAAAAAATAAAAGAATTATAAATTTATTATTATTTTTTTTAAATTATTATTATGAAATATATATTTATTTTTTAACAACTTAAAAGTTTGAGAGGCAAATTAGAACACAAACAAATTTAATAAAAACAGGAAATTAAAAAAATTTGTATAAATAATAATTTTAAACCATAATCCTTTTAAGAAAATTACAAAAATAATAAATTTAAATTTTTTTTTAAAAGTATTTAAAATTTCATTCGAAATTAAATTTATAAATGAGAATTAAAAACTTAAAAATTTTTTATTAATTAATCAATAAAACAATTATGTAAATTTATAATATTTTCATATATATTATAATAATAATAAATAATATTTTTCATAAAAATCTCTTTACTTGTGTTTTGAAATCCTCAATAGAAATTTCCACCACTTCGGGCACATGTCCTCTTCGCATTTGCAAGTAATTGATTTGATCTTGAAAAGCCTTTGATAATAATAAGAAACAAAAGTGAATAATATCCTTACTTTTTTTATATTATACAAAGTACACAAAAAATTATTTTTAATGTTTTTACTATTGTAGTTATAAATAATAAAAAATAGATGATCATAATAAAGATAGTAATAAGTATAATAATAATTGTCAAGAATAATATGTAATAATATATAATAAAAATAATAATAAATAATTAATGAACCCATCTTTAGAATATAAAAAGCACAGAAAAAAGTTTTTTTAAGAAAGTTTTTAAAGTAATTAAAAAAAATATATATTTTTTATATTAAAAAAAATTTCAACATGTATTTTATAAAAAGTTAATAATAATAATAATACATAATAAATAATAATAAAATAATAACTTACAACGTGCAGCATATGAGCAAGTAAATCGTTGAAATGTTTTTTGTAAGTCAAATATTTCGAAAGAGACTATTAAATAATGATAATAATAATAATAATATAAATGATATAAGAAATAATATTTACTTTTTAATAAATTATAATTATATAACTTTTATTTATAGGGTTATATTTTTTTATAAAATTTATTATAATTATATAAATATATCCAAAAGTGTTACTATTATAATAAAAGATTTTTATAATATATATTTTTTATTTATATTATTATATAAAAATATAAATAAATGCCTGATTTACTTCATGCTTATAAAATAATTAGAAAAGCGAAAAAGAAAAAAAATACAATAGAATTCAAGTATTACTTTCGCTTCGATAGTAATGCTATAATAATAAATTAACCTTATATTTTTTAAATATAATTTTTATTTTTTATTATTATTTTGATTGTAGTTATATAGAAATATTTATTTATTATTTAAATAATATAAGATTATCATTATGATAAAAAAAATTCAAAAATAATACTTTTATATTTCTATATTATATTTTATAATTTGTAATTTTTTATTATTATATATTATTATGATATAAAAATTTATTTTTATATTTACTATTTACTATTATGTAAAAATAACCGATATTATTAATATAGTGACAATAAAATTTAAAAGTAATATGTTTATATTTTTACAATATAATTTATTTATAATTATTATTAAATTTTATATTTTATTATAAAAATTAGTCATTAGTATTATGATAAAAAGTTATCCTAATTATAAAAATATTTATTAGAAATAATTATTATTAAACTATTATATAATGAAGTTATTATTATAAGTAAGATATTCTTATGATATATAGTTATAGAGTTATTAAAATTTTATAAGAAATCTTTCTATTATTATATTATATTAAAAAAGTTATTATAATAATATTAAAATTCAATTTCGGTTATTATTATTATTATTGATATAATTATTTTGTGCAAATTACTATTCAAAAATTATAAAAAAGTTATTATTATAATAAATTTTATTTATTATTTATAGAAGTGTTACTTTTATTATTATATACAACAATGAAGTTGTTAGCTTATAATAAAGCTTTATTTATTATTATTCATTAAAGTCTAACTTTTATTATTATTTATTTATTATATTGTTATTACTTTAAAAGATTTCATTATAATCATATTATAATTAAAAAACTCTATTTATCATTATTATTTATAAAAGTATTACTAATACTATATTTTGAATTCTAAATTGAGAAGATAAAAAAAATTCTGTTATAAATTTTGATTTGTAAACTATTTATAATAAATTATTAATATTTTTTATAATATTGATTTATAATTCAGTATTTTATATAATCTAATGAATTTACTAGTAATATTAACTTTTTTGTAACAAATATTATATATAGAAAGTAATTAGTAATGACAAATAGTTATTGTTTATATATTATTATTATAACAACATTTATTTATTTATTAATAATATTTATATAATTTAATAAATATAGTATTATAAATTTTTTATAATAAATATCGTAAATAAAAGTTAAATAATAATAATAACAAAATAAGATGATTGTTAATATATTATTAGTATAATATGCATCAATATTTGTTAGCTTTGTTCATTGTATTTCTAAGAAGTTTACTATAAATATTAACTATGCATATATTATAAATAATAATAAAGTTAATGTTTATGATATTATTATTATCATTATTCAATATATCAATAACTATTATTCACTCTTTAAGATTTTATTAATAATATTGACATTTTATTATAAATACTAGAAAAATTGGGATCAATAATAGTATATACAAAATAAGTAGTAATAATAAATAGCGTTGATTATCCATTATTACTAATATGATATTCATTATTATTGCATCAAAATAATTAATATAAATAATATATTAAATTTATTAATAATATTAAGATATTATGATAAATATTACTTAAGTAATAATAATAATAAAACGTAAATTTTATTTATTATTATAAAAGTAAATTTAAAATTATTATTTATAATATAATAATAATTATAACAATTATCAGTTATTTACAATACATTATTTTGTAAAATACTTATAATTTATTATAATATCAACTTAAAAATAATAAATATTAAATAATAAAATAAATTACTAAAAGTGGATAATAATAATAATAATATAATAATAATAACCATAAATCATAAGTTCCATATATTATTAACTTATTTAAATTTATTATTATTACAGTTATAACAATTATTATTTTTAAATGATTCATTATAAACTTTTCATAGTAAATATTAAATAATAATGAAATAAAAATAAATAATTATAAGAATAAATAACACATAATAAAAAGGAAATAATATATAAATATAAAAAATAAATTATTATAATATTATATTCAATAAAAAATTAATAAAATATATTTATAAGTATTAAAAAATTTATAATAATAGTTATAGAAAAATAATAAAAAATACATAAAAAGTTAAATAAATTATAATTATAACAGTAAATACTAAATAAAATGTACTATAATTAATAAATATGTATAAAGTAAATTTTATTAAAATAATAATAATATATAAAATTTTAAATTAGTATATTACAATAATAATTGTATATAAATCTATAAAGAAAATTACGATTATAATAATAAATAAAATTTCAAAAAATGTATATAATAATAATAATTAATATTTTATAAGTTGAAACTTTTAAATACTTTCTAGTATTTTCTTAAATTATTAATAACTTTTATTATTTATTATTCATTTTACTTTTATTATTATTACAAACTTAAAAGAAACTTTTAATTTATTATTATTAAGTTATTATAATTGATTATAAATTTTGGTATGTTTTTTTTAATTTTTAAACTTTTATTATTAGAAACTTCGAAACTTTTTTATATTTTATAATAATTTTTTTTCATATTATTAAAAATTAATTGTAAACTTTTTAAAAAAAAAAAGTAAATTGTAATAACTATAATCAAATATTTTATATATAATAACCATTAATAAAGGAAAATATTTTTATTACTCAAAACTGATATATTCTTTTAATTTTATATATAAATTTATTATAAACATTTTTTTCATAATTATTTTAATTATTTATATTATTTAAAACTTATAAGAAACTTTTCTACTTTAATATGAATAATATTTATACCACTTTCAGTTAGTATTATTAATATAAACTTATTATGAACTTTTGTATTTTATTATTAATTTTTTTAATTTTTATTATTATAAAAATTATTATTATAAACTTTATTATATAATAGTAATATAATACTTTTTTTAACTTATTCATAACGCTCGACTTTTGAGTAGAAACGAAAGATTCTAACATCACTCGAATGGCAATATTCACATCTTTTATAAATAAGTAAAAAAAATTGATAATAGAAAGTAGAAGTTTATGATTAGTTTTGAATTATAACAATAAAAGTAAATAAAAAATACTTAGAAGTAAAAAAAAATATATAAGTTTGTAACCTTCAGATGATAATAAAACTTAAAAAATAATAAAAAGTGTAAAAGAAATAAAATAATTTATTAGTAAAAGTTTATAATTAACTATAAATATTAATAAAAAAAAATAAGAAAAAATAATTAAAATAATAAAGAGAAGTAAAAGTTTTATAAAAGTTTCAAATACGAAAAAAATATTTAAAAAAGGTTTCATAAAAATTTAAATGTATATATAACTTTATTATAGTATTAGTATCTATCAAAAAGCATCCAATAAGGGAATGTAATTTTTGTTATGCTGCATTTCAATATACGCTTTTCCAAAAACTCTGGCATTCTATTGCTTCCTTACTATAATTTTTAACAGGAAGTCGAAATTTAATGAATTGCGTTTTAATGTTTTTTAAGTTTCCGCCGCCAACCAAACGCATTAAATATAAATTTGGCAAATAATTAAATACAAATATTATATTTATAAGTTCATTTTAATGGATATTTAGTGAAATATTCGTTAAATATTAATAAAAATAGAAAATAATGATTAGTCCTTTAAGAAACTTGAATGAAAATCAAAAATTTTAATGATCATATAATATCTACGCTAAAAAAAATAAATAGAAAAATTAGCGATTGAAAATAAGATACAGAAAACATGACTACAAAAAAAAAATTTAATACCAAATAACGAAAAGGATATAAAAGATGGACCAATAAATAAAATAATATATAATAAAAGTTTTTAACAAGTATAAAATATAAATTTTTAAAAAAGTTATCAAAAAACAACCAATAAGAAAAAAAATAGATCACCATACAAATAAAAATAAAAATTAGCCAAAAAAATATAATACCGATAAAACGTTCAAAAATAATAAGTTTTAGCATCCAATAACAGAGTGGATACAATATATAAAAACCAATAAAAATAAAAATAATAAATCAAGGATAATAAAGTAAAGTAAACGAACAAACAAACAACTCGTATTAATTTTTTACCTAATAATGTTACATGTAAAAGATATAAAGAAAGAAAAAAACACCAATAAATTATTAAAAATAAAACAAACTTACGTTAAAATAATAAAAAGGGGAAGTGAACAAAAAAAGTTAAAATATAGAATTTAAAAATTTCAAACCAAAAAATGATATATAAATAGGCCATAGACCAACAAACATACATAATATAAAAAATATAAGAGAAAGTAAACCGAAGAACCAACGAACAGATATAAAGTCTACGCATCACTATTAAATGAATTTAACGTATTTAACTCTTAAAAATAATACGCCAAAAAAAATTGAAATTTTAAAGAATGGACCACCCAGCTAATGAAAAAAAAACATTAAATCCCCTCGCCTCACTAATATAAGCAAAATGAGAAAAAATAATTATAGAATCAAAAATAATCGTGAGATTACTAATTTCAAAACAACCAATCAATCATAATATAACACACCAGCTGAAAAAAATGACTAAATAAAAATCCTAACCAACATCATTTACGAAAAATTATAAACACCAGAAAATAACGAAAGTGCACCAATCAATAAACTTAAATAGGTGAAAGAACCAGTCAAAAGTCTGTAAATAAATAAAAACACAAAACAAACCTTCATCTTCTACAAACTCACGCAGATGCATTTTTGCGTGAGCTTCACTAATCCTCAGCATTGACTCCAAGTGACGGACGGTAATAGGAATGCTATTCGTGATCTAAAGAAAATTATAAGAAAAAATAGATGTAAAGCAGCCAAACAAAATTTGTATAAGAATTCGTAAAAACAAGTAAAAACACAGATAATAAAGGATATAATTATAGTTTTTTAACAAATTTACTATTAATATTATATTTATACAATATATATAAATTGGTAATAATAATAATAATAGTAATAGTAATAGTAGTAATAAATAATAATGATAATAATAAGAAGAAAAAGAATAATAATAATAATAATAATGAGCAACCATTGCTTCTCTTCGAAGGACGCTATATATTTTTGTAAGTTTGTCCGAATCGATATTAGTGAGTTTCGGGTGAATATTTTTACGAGCGTATCTTTAATAATAATTATAAATAATAATAATAATATATATATCAATAATAATAACAATAAGCAAACTTTATATATTTCCTTAAAATTTCTTGAGGAATTGCAGAACTATTTTTGATTGCTTCTCTTTCTCTGGCGGCATTTTCTTCGAGTTCCTTTAATAGTAAATAAAATATTGATATATATATATATAAATATTTACTTTTCTATTATTAATACGAAAAATTATTTAGATAATAAAAATAATATTAATAATAACAAAAAAAAATTACTTAAAATAAAAATAAATGAAACTATTACTTTTCTATCTACTATAAATAATGTATATATCTTAAATATAAAATTCATTATATATCTATATAAAATAAATGAAATTTATACAAATAAATAACTTTTTCTTATATATTTTTTTATATATAATAAAGATTTAATTTATAAAAAGTTGCATATAGAAAACATAATATATTAACGATAACAATGGATTTATGTTATAATAATATATAGAAAACTTACTTTTATATTTAAAGTTAAACAATATATGAAATAATAATAATAATATTTTTATGTAATCTCCACAAAAACTAAAACTTTTCTATATAATAATAGTAATGAATATATATTTTGAGAAGAATCATAAAAACTTAAATTATTCTACTTATAAGAATATAAAAATTTTAATAATAATAAATATATTTTTGAAATATATTTATAAAAACTTTATCTTTCTTACTTATAATTAATAAAAAATATAATTTTTATATAATATAAAATACTTTATATATATATATATATTTTAAATATTAATACTATTAAAAAAAATAACTTTCAATTTTTTAGACTTATGAATAATAAATATATTATATGATTTAAAAAAAAAAGGAAAAAACTTAAACTTCTATATTTATTATTAGTAAAAGTATGATTTTCATAATAAATATATTTCTTTTTAAAATTTTATTAAAACTAAAACGTTTTTATTATAATAAATTGATTCATATGTAAATTAAAAATAAATAACTTTTTTACTTATAGAGGATGTAGTAAGATTTATATTGTTATGCATATTTATAAATTAATGAATATATTATTTATAAATAATGCATAAAGAAAATTTAATTTTTCTAATTATTATTACTAATAAATATGAAAAATATATGAAATAAAAATTGTAATAAAGAATATATATTTTAATTATATAAAATTAAATGACATACGCATAAAATAAAAATATAACTTTTATAAATAATTGTAACAATAAATATATTTATTGATAATATTAAGAAAAACTATAACTTTTTTATTTATATATAATATATGTATCTTTTTATAAAGTATGTAAATATAAAATGAAATAATATTCCTTATAACCAACATTTTTTTGAAAATATATATAAAGAAACTTTGAATTTTGAGCTTATAATAAATAAACTTATTATGGGTAAAAACAGAAGAATATATAAAATATTAATATTAATAATAAATATATTTTTTATTAATATTATATAAACTATCACATTTTATAAAAGATATATATTTTTATAATAAAAAATGATATTAAATTTTTTTATTAATAAAACTATTTAGTAAACTTTTTTATAAAATAATACTGAAAAGCTTTATATTCATTTACTATACAAATAATAAAAGCAAATTATTATAGTTCCTCATAATAAATAAATAATACTTTTTACAACATTTCTTATAACTTTTTATAAATATAATAAATAATATAAAAAAACAAAATTTACTACAATTTCGTGTATAAGAAGTGTTAAATAAATTTTATTTCGAGAATTAGTTTTTATAAATAAAAATAAATGTAGTAAAAGTTTTCACTGTTTATAATAAATAGTATATATTTTATTAAAAATATTAAAAAAAGTTAAATGTTTATAGTTATAAATAAAAAAAATATTTTATTAATGGCCTTCTTTTTTTATAAAAATGACGTAATATTCAATTTATAATAATAATTATTATACATATTAATAAATGTTTTAGTTTTGATATTTAAATATTAATAAATTAAATATAAAGCGGTAAAAAGTATTATATTTATATATAAAATATAATTAGTATTAAATTTTTTAGTTATCCAAGAAATAAGTTTTTTTTTTGCCCAAAAGAAAAAATTAAGAATATTTTTTTAAAAAGTATTAAGTAAAATAGAATAAAATAATAATAACAATGAATAATCATAAGAAAAATTTTGGCTTCATAAAAGATTTGTATTAAGTTATACTTCTCTTTTGGTTGGGTGGTTTATATAATGACTATTCACTACAAACTCAGCAAGTTTTCTGTCGCTTTCCTAATAAAAATAATATAATAAATATAATAATAATGGTTTGAATAAAAATAATAATATTATTAGAAAAATATAATATTGCTAATAATAAAAAAGGAATATGAGAAAAGAAGAGGAATTATATATAAAAAAATTAATAATAATAATACTGGTATAAATAATAATAATATTATTACCCGATCACTTCTGTCCACCACAACGCAAAGAATATCAAAACGTGAGAGAATCGGATCGCTTAAGTCAACATTCTGAGAAAAAGTGTCTATAATAATAATAAGAATAAGAACAAGAATCAAAATAGTAATAATAGTGAGTATAACAGGCTGGATTGTATGTGCTATGACGCGGATTAGCTGCTGCTATAACTGAACAACGCGCTTGCAAGGAAGTGACGATGCCGGCCTGTTAGTTACGAATTACAAAAAATATTTGTAATATTTTTAATATATTAATAAGTAAAAAAATTACAAGTATTATTATAAATATAATTACAACAAGAGTATGAAATAAATAAATATAAAAACTAATATAAAAAAATTATTCAAAATAAAAATATCGAAAACAGTAATAATTATTTATATTAATTAAATAATTATAATACTTTTTATTTAAAGATGGTTGTAATATAATTTACTTAATAAAAAAGTAAATTATATTATTATCCATATAAATTATGGTTATAAAAAAGATAATAAGAGTAAAAATAATAAATATATATAAAAAAATATATAAACATTAAAATTATTAAAAAAGAAAATAGTAAAGTTGAATAGTAAAATATAATTAATTAAAGTAAATATTTTTTCTTTTAGTAACAAGTAAAATATTATTATTATAAATATAATAACAAAAGTACAAAGTAAATAATGATAATATATAACTTATATAAATTATAGTAATAATTTTAAAAAAGTTTATTAGTAAAATAAAATAATAACTATATAAAACAGTTAAAACTTTTCTGTATTTATTAACGATAAATTATTATTACTATAAAAACAGTAAAAGTATTGAAAAAAATAAATAAATACAAGAAATGAAAAATAATAACAAAAAAAGGAAAATTTTATAAGTACTGTTATATTATAATAAATATTAAATAAAATTTAATTATATTTATTATTAATTATTATTATTGTAATTATTGATAAACAAGAAAAATAATAATATAATATATATATAATAAATAAAATATTGAAAAGAAAATTAAAAAATAATATAATGAAGTATTACTATTTATTAATAAATTTAAAAAAAAATTGTTAAAATAATTATTAATAAATAATGTTCTCAGTATTATAATTATCCATTATCATTATTAATACTTTTGATATACTTATGCTTTGCTGTTCCATGGCTTCATGAATACTCGTCCTGTCCTAGAAGAAAAAATTCATAAAACTTTATTAAAAACATTTAAAAGTTTACAAGCAATAACGAATTACATTCAAGGCTTTCCCTAACCTAACAAGCTTTTGGTCAAATTGAAAAGTAAGTAATTATACAAACGTAATTAAACGCACCAACCAAAAAAACTTTAAATAAGAATGCACGTGATTTGTGAACTAGTTTACCGCAATTTATTTAGCGAGTTGAACAGCAGTAACTAATCAGAGCAACGGATGATAATAATAAACAAAACTAAAAATAGCCAATAAGAAAAGGCGAGTAAATCATCAAGCAATGATAAAACGCCATTAGCCAAAATATAAAAACAAAATAGGACCAAATTGAAACTTTGATACGCTAAATTGTAACAAAATCATAAAAAAGTGGCAAACTTGCAAAAACCCATAATCTATAGAGTATAAATAAATTGCAATGATTTCAAAAAATGTATGAATATAACGAAAAAAAATAAATAACCTGATCGCTCATTTTATCGAACTCATCGATCAAACAAATGCCTCGATCGGCAAGCACAAGCGCTCCTCCTTTATAGTAGTAATAACAGAAATAATAATTAATAATAATAATAATAATAATAATAATAATAATAATAATAATAATAATAATAATAATAATAATAATAATGATAAAAACCTTCAAGCATCCATTCTCTCGTTACCGGGTCTTTGTGGACACTCGCCGTTAGCCCAACAGCAGACGCACCTTTAAAATTACCACCAATCATATGAGATAGAGTTCAACTTCAAGGCTAACAGGCATCGTTTTACGCTAAAAGTAAAATTTGTAACCTTGTCCGGTGGTATACATGCATCTGGGCGCCGTTTGCTCAACGTATTTAAGAAACTGAGACTTTCCCGTGCCGGGATCTCCGCAAATCAAAACGTTGATATCCCCGCGAACGCGATGCTAAAAATATAATGAATAACAAACATAAATTGAAGTATATATTAATTATTTAATATATAATAATTCACATAATAAAGTGTTAATATATATAATAAATAGTTTGTAATAGTGAATATTATATAAATAATATATATATAGATATATTATATACTTTAAATAAAAGCACAGAAATATATTTTCAAAAAAAATTTAATAAATAACAAAAGGGTATGTATACTATATAGAAAGTATATATAATATATTAAAGCGTATAAAAACAAACGATATTAGAGATAATATAAATAAATATATTAATAATAGTGTTAGATAAATATATATAAAATGTATAACCGTTTATAAAAAAATATATAAAAACATATATACTAATATATAAAAGTGTATACATATAAGTATTATAAAAAAAAATAAAAAAGGATAGAAGTAAATATATATAATAAAAAAATGTATTAATATATATAATATATAATAAAAATAAGTAAATATATTATCTAAAAAAATGTATACAAAAAAAACTTATAATAAATATATATAAAATAATATTTTTGTAAATATTATATATAATAAGCAAAGGTATATAATATAAATAAATATAAATAAATAACATATATACAATGTATATAAAAAATAAAAATTATAAAAATTATAAAATAAATATAAAGTAAATAAATTTATAATGAAAAAATAATAATTAGCACAAATATTAAATAATAATTATAATATTTAGAGAATATTAAAAGAGATAAAATAATAATTATAAATAAATTTAAATATAAATAAGAAAAGTTACGATAGACGATATAATAAAAGAATAAAAAAGTAAACAAATAAAAAATAATATAACAAAAATATTGATATATAATAATACGAATTGATAGAAATAAAAGAACCTTATTGGAGTCTCCATATTTTGCTTCGCCCCCAAAAAGAGCAAGAGCGAGAGCCATTTTGATATTTTCGTGGCCGTGAATAGAGGGCGCGATACTAATAATAATAATAATAAAGTAATGATAAATCCCTACATCAAGTAGTATAAACAAACAATATGAAACGATTAAAAAAAGATTACATTCATAAAAAGTATAATATATATATAAATGCACCAATAAAAAGTAAATTAAACCGCAAATAAAATTATACATAACAAAGTTTACTAAGAATTCATTTTTTTATTATTGTAAGTATTTATTTTTTAAAATAAAATTAGTTTATAATAAATTTTTTAATTGTAATTATTAAATATTATTATTTTTCCATTCTAGAAATAAGTTTTTCATTTTTTAAATTATTATTACTATTTATATTCATTTATATATTTAGTTTTTAAAATTTTTGATTGTTATCAATTTATTAATTATAAAATCTAGATTTTAGTTATTAATGTTTCTAAATACTATTATTATTTTAATATTATTAATTATTAGTAGAAAAGTGAAGACTATTATGAATATAAATAAATATAAAAACAACCTAAAAAATGTAATAACTATCTTAAAAAAAACATAATATAAAATAAAAATTTTAACGTACCAATAACAACAGTTATGAATCGCTATTAAAATTATGATTAACAAATGTAATTTCATTTTACTATAAAGTCAATAAAAGAATTGAAAACTGTTCATAAAGGCAAATAAAATAATAACCAATAAAAATTATAAATCGTATTCATTGAATATATATATATATATATATTAAATTTTAAAAGTACCAATCAAAACAAAAATAAAAAGCTACTAAAAATATGAATAACGAATTTTATTTAACTTCATATTAAGTCAAAAAATTGAAGAAAATTTATAAATGCAAATATAAATAAACCAACCAATAACATCGAAAAATTGTATTCATAAATAATAAATATTATAAAATTTAAACCGTACCATAAAAACTAATATAAATTGCTATTAATAATGTGAATAACAAAAATAAGTTCATGTTACTATTAAGTCGTAAAATATATTGAAGACTAATATAATTGCAAACAAAATAAAAACAACCAATAAAAAATAAAAAATTATATATCATAAAATTTTAAACGAACCTACAAAAACTAATATAAATCGTAAATAAAAATAGATATAACAAAATTTGTTATAAAATATAAACAGTGAAGATTATAAAAAATACCATGAAAAATAGGAAACAATAAAATGGTTATAGAAAAATAAATTCATTACATAATAAATATTTTTAAAAAAATATTTAAACGCATTAACTAAAAATTATAAATTGCAGTTAAAATTACGATTAACAAATTTATTTTTTTCTAATAAAAACAAAATAAAATTAAAAATTATTATGAATGCCAAAATAGGAATTAATAATATAAAAAAATTATACTATTTTATATACGAAATATAAATAAATAAAAATTAAAAAAAATTATGATTTGCCAAATTTCAATTATTAAATATTCATTATATGGATGAAGACTATTATGAACGTCAATAACAAATAAAATGATTTATAAAATATAAAAATTATAAAAATTTATTATTACTTAATAATAAAATTAAAAAATAATTCAAAAGTACCAAAAAAAAAATAGGAAATAATATAATCGCAAATAAAAAATTATGAATTTTATAGTATCACGTACTCATTAAAAGGGCGAAGATTATAATAAATGTCAATGTAAATAAAAATATATTAATCCATTATTTTATAAAATTAATATTAAAGAAATTTAAAACGTGCCATAGAAATTAAATATGAAATAAAATCAAAATCGCAAAAAAATTATGAATAACACATTTTATTAAATCTTATTGAAATAGTGAAGACTATCATAAACGCTAATAATAATAAAATTAATAATATATATAATAAATTTTAACAAAATCCAAACGTAACAAAAAAGTATTTATATAAAAAATAAAAAAACACAAAGAAATAGTTAATAATTAAAAATTAAATTATCATTATAAAAAGTGAAGACAAGATTACTATATATGTCATTAAAAATAATGTTATTATTAAATATAAATTATATAAATTAATTACATCAAAATAAATTTAATATAAATTTCACACGAATCAAACAAAATGAATATATAATAAAAAAAATTATTGCAAATTAAATTATAAACGAATGTTATTGACCAATAAAAATATCAATAAATTTTAGTTTCGTAATTATTTAGGTAATTTCTTATATTAACCAATAAAAAACCTTCGAATAATTTTTTCGCCAATCCTGGGGTCCTCGCCCATCTCGAGTATGAGCTGCTTATCCCTTGACGTAAGCAGAGAAGGCGACGAATCAACACGCTGAACATTATTGGCTTCCAAAATTGTAGTAAAAACCTACCCAATAAAAATTTCGGTACTTCTTAAAATAATTTTAATACAAAAAGAATGTTAAACAAATCATATAAAACATGCAAATTAAAATTTTTTTACTTTTATATAGTAAAAATAACTTTTTTACTCAAAACTTTTTTGGTGTTTAATTTATTATATAAGAAATATATATAAAGAGAAATAAAAGACAAAAAAGTTTGAAAAGATATTATTGTTATTAGGAAAATTTATTATAAAAGTTAGAGATAATTTTAAAAAACTAGGAATTACTTATTAATATATACTTCTACATATAAAGTTTGAGTTATTTTTATTATTAAAGTTTATTATAAAAGTTTATATTATTATTAAAAAAGTTAAAGAATTATGATTTAAAACTTACATAAAAAAGTCATTATTGTCATTAAATATACTAAAAAAGTTTATTAATAATATATAAATTAAAAAAAAGCATTATTATTTTATACTCACACAAAAAAGTTTGAAGGATAAAAATATGTTATATTTAAAAAAAAGTTAAAATATTATTTTATATCTTCGGATGATAAAATTTAGACTATTATTATTATTAAAGTCTATTATATAAGTTTTTTATATTTTTATATTAGTATATAATGAGATAATAAAATTTATAGGTATATGGATAAATAATAACTGGAAAGCCTTGTTGCTTGTTTAAAGCAATATCAAAGTTATTTCGATAAACAGCAATAACTTCCACCTGAAAAGTAAATAATAATAATAATAGTAATAATAGTAATAATAATAATAATAATAATAATAATAATAATAATAATAATAATAATAATAATAATAATAATAATAATAATTATAATAATAATAAAATCAATAATATAACAAGTTTTCCTTAAAAAAATGTCCTATTGACGAATAACGTTTGCTATACTACATCTAAACCACTCACATCGCTTAGCAATTTAAAGGAAAGAGTTTGACAAAAATTTTAATGCATTGCGTCGCATTAACATCATTTACTTTAAAAAAAGCCAAGCCCACGGTGAACGGCCAATCCAAAGTGCACATTGTAAGATCAAATTAGAAGAGCATAAAAAATATTCTGCAGAAGAAAATACCAATTACAAGGCGGGAGTTAAGAACAAGAATGGTTAATTGGTTAACTATAAGTCGAATAGAGGGTACGCACGGCAAGTATTCACCAACCAGACGTTATTACATGTGAACGACAAGTACATGAACGGAAGGAATACTATTTGTAACAGAACTATTCTAGCCAATAGCACTCCGTGAAAACCCTCAATCACTTTTATTGGTCAAACAAATAAGATGTAAAATTAGCATCCAATTAGAACGCTGAGTTTATCAAATAACTATGGAAACTGTTATTTTTTAAAGTATGACGATATACTTGATAACGTCCAATATATAATAAATAATGTAATAAAAAATAATAAATTTATTCATTTATATAAAAAATAAAATCTAGTGAAATAGATAATAAAGCAGCCGATGATAAAGCGAATTAAAAAATTATATACTTCATCACCGGGTTTACAGGAGTCGACCAAGTCTTGAAGTAAAATGACCTTCTTTTGGACAGGCAGACGGCCAGGAGAAACAGAGCCGGGACATTCCTGAAGCCATATCTTTTAATATATATTAATAAATTAAATAATAATATATTATAAACATTAACAATAATATACATAAATAAAAATTTAAGTAATCATAATGTAATAAGGAATAAAATAATAATAATAACATAACATATAACAGTAACAAAAAGAAAAAAGTATAATAACTAAAAATAATAATATACAAGAACTGGATTTAATAAAAATAAAACTATATAGATGTATTGCATTAATAATAACAGCTTACATAATAGTAAAATATAAGTAAATGAATAATAATAATAATAGTAAATAAGTATTTATAACAATATATTCCATTACAAAACAATAAAAAAAGTAAAAATAAAACGAATGATAATAATAATAATAAAATAATATAGTATAAAAAATAATAATGAACAAAAAAATAATAATTATTATGAAAGTAAGCAAGATAATAATAATAATAAAAACATTAAATAGTAAAATGGTTATAAAAATAATAATAAATAATAATAAATAAATAATAAAAAAAAGCATAATACATAGTAGTAACAAAAAAAAATAAAAGTATAGTGACAGGTAATAATAATGGTGATATAATATATTTTAAACATAATAATAAGTAAATACATAAGCATCACAAAAATAATACAAAAAACGGGAAAAAAAAAATAGAATAATGTATAATAACAAAAAACGGTAATAATAATTATAATAATAAATATGAATTTAAAATAATAATTAGTATTAAAAGCATTATATTAAAAATTTTTAAAAAAATAAATATAAAAAAAAAAGTAGTAATCGTACTTAATAACAATAATATAATGATTTTAATGTCAATAAATAAAAAAACAAAATATAGCGAAGTATATTTATATTATAAATATTATCGTTATCACGAGATATTTTTAAAATTCCTTCTATTTACTGCATTCATGAAAACATAACTGATTTGTAACAAATTTATATAGAGAGTGTCAATACAAAAATTTCAAAAAACGTGAAACCGTAAAAAAATATTTTAGAATGATTAAAAACATAAAATTATAAAATAAGTAAAAAGTTTAAGTATATAAATAGTTAATATTATATTAGCCTTTATATTTATTATAATAATTTTAAATATAAAAATAACAATAACAATAAATAAAAAAATTAATTAGTGATAATTATTATTATAATAAAATTAATAATAATAACAATAATAAGAATAATAAATGACACTAATAATCACTTGTTGATAGTTTTTATAAACAGTGTGTCTGGTGTTTATGGAAAATGAGCCACGGGCTTGGCAATTGGGACATGTGCCAATTTTCATGTCTTTATCGCTGCTTTCAAACATAAAAGGGCCAAGAACTTTAATAATAATAATAAGTTAAAGTAATAATAATAATAAAATACTAAAATAATAATAATGATAACTATAACAATAGTAATAATTATAATATTAATAAACCATGGCCGCATGTGCCACAGTCGTATTGAACATACTGAAGTTGAGGAAGTACACTAGTACGGCGAGTAACAACGCCAGTCACCTCAAATAATAAAATTAATAAGTTAATAATAATAAGAATAGTAACAATAGTAAGTAAAAATAATTACAAAATAAAATAATAAAATATATATGAATAATTAATATAATAATACCAGCAATAATAATGAAAAAATAATTATGAATAATAATAACAATAGTAACAATAATAAATAGTAATCATGATAAGAAGTACAATAATAAAAACTGTAATAATAATAAATAATAGTAATAGTAATGAAAAAAAAAGTATAAATAATAACAACGTACTTTTACAAGAGTATTGAGATGAGCTTCGCGCAAGTCTCTCAACTTGTCTTCGAGCGGTAAATTGTAAATACGCACGTGTATATCCTCATGTATTTCGTGGTACTTTTCAAAGTCGCGCAAAATAACCTAAAAATAATTTTAATTAATAAACTTAATAAAAATATTAAATAAAAAATAAATTTAATTAGAAAATTAATTAATTTAATAATAAAAAAATAACCACAATATTATTATAAAAACAAATATATAAATACTAATAATAAACAAAAGGATTGTAAACAAATATATACTTATAATAATAACTACAAAAAAAATTCTGATAATAATAAATAATAATAATTATATAATAGTTATAAAATATACAAAATTAACGTTAATAATGAGAGTATATCCAAAAATAAATAATAAAGAAATTATAATAACTATAAAATAAAATAAAAATTATAAACAAACATTATGGATATTTAAAACTATATTAATAATAATAAGAATATAAATAAACATAGCTTGACATTAAAAAAAGTTATTATTAATAATATTAGGATAATATGTAAAGGAGAATGGTAATAATAATAAGCAAAAATATATTATTAATAAAAATAAGAAAAAAAAATGTAAAGAATAGTAAATTTTTTTTTATTATACAATAAAATAATAATAATAAACCAATAAACAATATTGTAATGATAATAATAAATAATGAAAAGCAATAAATGAATTAAAACTTAAAGTAAACGATATATAGTAATACTTAAATAAAAATAGATATAATATTAACAAAAAACTAATAAACAATTTTATAAAAGTAATATTTAAAACAAATATAATAACAATCTAGATTTATTAAAATAGTCATTAACTAAAGTAATAGAGAACATAAATATAAAAAATATTTTTTAATAATAATATAAATAAATAAATAATAAACATAATTACCATAACTTTCTTATATATATAATAATGATAATGATGGTTATGATAATAATAATAATTATGGAGACTTGGGTCGTTGCTTCGTCTAAAATTCTAAACATTTCGATTGGAGCGTCCACTAAATACATCGCTAAAATACCGCAACCTTCAAACTAAACAGAAATATAAATAATAATTATAATAATAGTAATATAATTATTATAATAATTATAAAAACTTAAAAAAATATAAAATTACTAATAGTAATCAATTTACTTTATATAATAATTATAGTAATTTCAAAATAAATAAAAATATTATTATTATTACTTTCAAAAAATCTTTGAATATAATAATAATAATAATAATAATAATAATAATAATAAATACTTAGAATATAAATTTAACAAACCACAAACTCTATTAATTTATTGTCATAAATTCTTATATATAGAAAAAAATTTACTTTACAATAAAATTTAATAAATAATAAAAGTTAAGAACAGTAATGAACAAATTTTCATTAAAATACAAAAAATAAAATAGAATAACAAAAATAACGAATTTTCATTTTAATAATTGGTAAATTCTTTAATAACAAAAAATTGTTAAAATATTATCATATTTTAAATTATCATTTGTATCACTTTAGTTCGCTGCAAATTATTATTTTTTCATAACGTGTTAAGCTTCGTACTATAAATGATCGTATTATTAATACTTCCATAATTTTTAATATAAGCAACGCACATGGCAGAGATGTTGGTAATCCACGCGCAAACTAGACTCATTATTGGAGCATAAATTCATAATAGCGTCCCCGTAAACACTTACTCCTGATTCGTCAACAAAAGAGGTCAAAAATAAAGTGAACTGAGCCCCTAAAAATTATATACGTCATTTTAAAAGCAAAGTAGACATAAAATTGTTGGGACGAGTTTCTTAAGCTGCATTTTTTTTAGTGAATTTCTTTTTAAAATATAAATTTTATTGAAGCAAAAATATTGATTTGCTTTATTAAAAACTTGTTGATTACTACTTTTAATTGTTTTATATTTTTAAATTTAAATTAATGAAATAAAACTTTTTATATATTTTTAGAGGTTCCAAATTTTTTTTGTTTTCAATTAATAAAATATTATTAATTGATAATATTTTTATATGAAACTTTTTACATACTTTTTGTAATATTTATAACTTTCTTTCGAAAAAAAAAAGTTACTCATAAATATTTTAACAATAAACGTTCGCTGATATCATATAAATACTTCCTTTTAATAGAGATAATATTGAATTATTATGATAAAATTTTTTCATGTAAGTTATGCTTTTTATATAAATATTATTATTTGTTATCATTTTTATTAATAAAATTTATTTTTAAATATTATTAAACAATTTTTAAAAAGATAATAATAATATAGATATTATCATAAACGCTTTTAAAGTTGCCAAATTTTTAATTTTATTTATTATTATTGACTAAAAAAAAATTGTTAATAATAATTAAAAAAAGTAGTAAAATTTATATTATTATTTATATAGTATTTTTATATTATTTTAATAAAAAGTTTTAATAATCTTTTTTTATAAAACTTAAATAAATATGAAATTATATAAATATAATTATTATTACTTATTACTATAAATTACTTTTCTAATAAGTTTAACTTTTTATTTACTTTTTATAAATCCATAATTCATTTTTGTAAAATATTATTACGCTTTCTTTTCTTTTAATATACTCTTTACGCCATTTTTTTATAGATTTTCCTATAAAAAATATTATACTTTTATGAAAATAAAGTAGATAATAACTTTTAATAAAGTTATTTATATAAATTATAAGAAATATTTCTTTTTATTTATTATTTTCATTATAATATTATGAATTTTCATTTATTTATTATTTATACTTTTTATTATATATATATTTTAAAATAAATATTAATATTATTACTTATAAAAATTATTATATTACATACTTTTATATATATATAAAAAATAAATATTATCTTTTAATAAAGCTAATAAAATTTTAAAAAAAAATTCTTTGTTAATTATTTATTTATAATAAAGTAAAGTATTACTAAATTTTTTACTTTCATTATTATTATACTTTTTGAAATATATATGTAAAAATATATACTTAATATTATATATTATTATTATACTTTCTTATGTTTATATTTTATTTCAACTTACTATTATTATACTATTTTTTTAAATTAATTATATAATTGCGCATTATACTATTTTTTTGAAAAAAAATATTCTATTGACAAGTATTTTTACCTTTTAGTAAAGTTATAGATATTATTTACAATATTGTAATATTGTTTTATATGTTCTACCTCCTCTTTAAAAAAATTATTATAATTATTAATTGTTTCTTAATAAATACTATTTTATATTATTTTATCATATTATTATCATAAAAAATTATTTTTACTTAACTATATTCATTATTTTATATTAATACAATTTCATTAAAAAATTATCAGTTAATATTATAAATTAAATTCTTTAAGTCACTATTATTTTTGTCTCTATATATATTTATTTTTTTTTTATTAATATTAAGCTTTACCGATTTCCCTCCGAACATTATCGAGAGCGAGAAACTCACGAACTGGCAAATCGCGTGTGTCCGATAAATTTATATTGGCCTCTCGTTCCTTAAAAAAATTGATTAAAAAAAATGTTTTACTTTTTGATAATTATTAAAAAAATATTTAACAATAACAATAAAATTAGAAATTATATAATTATTATTTAAAAAATTATAAGTAAAAATTGATCATAAAAATTAAAAAAATAAATATCACACAGAATTATAAGTTAAAAATATAATAAAGACGAATAAGAAATAGAAAGTTAACAATAAAAATAAAAAAAAAATATATAAATAAAATAATTACAATAAAAAAGGTAAATAAAAATTTTTTTTAATAAATTATTAAAAATAACGAATGAAAAAATTATAAATTAGCTCTTATAATAACTAATAAAAATATAAATAAAAATTCTTATCAATAAGAATGAAAAAAAATAATAAAAGGCGAAAAGCAAATAAAAAATTAAAAAAAAAAAAATAGTAATAGTAAATGACGAATGAAAAAAAATTCATTAAAAGTATAATGAAATTATTTTCATTAAAAAGGGAAATTAAATTAATGAATACAACAAATATTCAATAAGTATAACGAGTTAATAATATTAATAATTAAAAGCAGTATAAATTATAAAAAGTTTAAAATAAAAAATAACGATAAATAAAAATTTATATAAAATGCTCAATAAAAATAAAGAAAAAAAAAGTAAGGAATAGATATCAAAAAAGATTATGAAGTGATTATAAACATTCAAAATAATTACGATAATAATTATAAAATATATATATAATATATAAAATAACTTTACATTCTCAATTAAAAAAACGAACCAAAGTAAACAATGATTATTAAAAACATTAAAAAGTAATGAAAACTTTCAATAATAACCATAATAAAAAAATGTAAGCGATCAATAAAAATATATTAATAATGCTCAACGGAAATAATGAATAAAAAATTAAAACCATAGTTATTTACAAACGTTGTAAAGTAACTTTATACGTTCAACCATCATAATAAGGGAGTATATACAAAATTTTAAAGCATGACGGAAATTTTATCAAAATACTCAACAAAAAAAATAATGAAATACTATAAAATTATTATTATTTTAAGCAATATACGAATAAGAACATGTTCAATAGTAAATATTGCAAAATATATTAATTTTTATAAGTGAATAAAATTTAGTATAAAAATGTTCAATAAAACGATGATAAAATAGATATATTTATTATTAAAAGCATTAAAAAATTATAGTTATTATTAACGACCAATAGAAATCTATACAAAAATGCTCAATAAAAATAATGAAGAATAATAAAAATTTGTAACAAGAAGTGTAAAAAATGCCAAATGAAAGTCCTGTTCGTTCATATTAAAAAAAAAATAAACCAATAAAAAAAAATAATAAAAATAAGACAAATAAATTTAAAATTTCATTATTTTTCAAACTAAAATTTGGAACAAGAACAGTTAAAATTGGCCAATACAAGGAGCTTTTATTTTATATAATCAATGATTTATTAAAAATTAATTGCGATAATAAACCAATAAAAAAGTATAACATAAAATATAATAAAAGTAAGATATTTAAGAAAAAATCTGTAAAAAATATATACAACAGAAATAATATCACAAAAAAATAATCAACCAATAAAAAAGTGCATCACTATAAATAATGAAAAGAGTGCAATAAAAAATGTATTCATAAATAATATGAAAAGAGTGAATGGATAAAAAAGGGATATCACTAAAAAAATAATAAACCCATAAAAAAAGTACAAGATAATAAATACTGAAGTAGTCATAAGTATACAAAAATATTATCACTTAAAATTTATATAAAAATTTTAACTTCATATATAATTTGTGGACGATCTTCAGCGAATGGGCGGTCACGACGTCTTCGTAATCCGCCAATAGCGTCATCACTTTCTTCAGAATCTGAAAAAAATGCAGTATCCACGCAATTAGTAAATAAAAGACATAAAAAAGTTATGTAAGAATTTCCATAACATAAAAAAACTAGTTATGACATAATAACTTTTATAAAAGTAATATTCATAATAAATAATAAACATTTAAAATAAAAAATAGAAAAAATTATAATAGTTATAAGAAAGGTATTCATCAACCTTCTCGTTATAATAAAAATGCACTTCATAAAAATAATATTAATATAGAAATAATAAAAAATGCTTAGTAATAATAATAATAATAAATATAGAAATAAATAATTATAACAAACCAGATTAGCTAAAAAAAAAATATTAAATTTAAAAAAATTAATATCAAGCAATAAATAATTAAATATATTTAAAATTCATACAATTAATAAACTTTTTAAAAAATCAATATTAATAAAATATTAAACTTTAACAAATGAAAAATATATTTATAATCATAATAAACTAGTATAATTTTTAGAATATAAATAAAAAAGTTTTTAATACAATATATCATAAAATTTCATTATAATAAATATATTATAAATATTAAAAAAAAAATTATTATATAGAAAGTAAATAATATATTGTATAAATATTTTAAATATTACTGTTAACTTGTCTTAAAAATTAAAAAAGTTTTTGAAACAACAATAAGAAATTTCCTTTAAAAATAAAAATTAATAGAAAAATAAATCACTAAAAATAATACTAATTAAAGTAGTTAATAAAATTTTTTTTTGATAATAGTATTAACTTTTCAGTAATTTAAGAAAACTTTTATTTTAACAAGTATTATTTTTGTAGTATAATAATATTTAATAAAAAAATTCTTTTTAATATGTTAAACTATAAAAAATAAGAATTACTAAAAATAAAATAAAATTAACAATAAATAGTGAAAAAAAAAATTTAGTAATAAAATGTAAAATTTTTTATTATATAATATTTTCGTTACAACTCAAAAAAAATAATTAAAATATATATACATCTAAAAATAATAAAATAAGAAAAGTTAATAATAAAAAAGTATATAAGTTTATACAATAATTTTTCATTAAAATAATAATAAACTTGAAAAAAAAATATTGTTTATAATAAAAGAGTTTCGAATATAATATTCATTAACTTAAGAATAGTACTAAATGTAATAATGTATAAAAAATTTTTATAAAAAAAATTATTGTATAAAAGTATTCGATATTATTATTAACTTCTTATTTAAATAAATATTTTTTTAAAATCACTTAAATTTCTACTAAAAGTAGATAAATGTTTATAAAATAATTATATAAATCTTAATAACTTATTAAAAAGAAGGTAAGTAAAAAATTTTTTGAAGTAGCAATTTTCGTTTAAGAAAAGCTTCATTATTAAAATAAAAAAATTTTAAATATAAAAAATAATAATATTAAGTATAATAGTATAAAAAACATAATGAAAAGTTTAAATAAAATTAATAAAAGTTTTATGATAAAATAATAAATACAATTAAAATATATAAATAACAATATTAAGAAAAGTTCCTGAAAAAATAATAAGTAAGAAGAATATAAGTATTAGTTTTAGAAAAGTCATAAAATTTTTAAGTGATACTATTAATGCATATATGAAAATAAGAAGCTATCATAAAAGGTCAAAAAGACCGTCCAAAGCACGTGGAATTCGTCCTAATCGGCGGTCCCTCCTTTTCATTTGTTCTTCAAGAGCTCTTCTCTCACCCATATCAAGTTCTGAAAACTAAGGAAAAAAATATAATAATTACATATAATTATGATAGTAATAATAAGGAAAAATAAATATAGTAATATATAAAAGTATATTAACAATAATAATAAGGAATAATAAGTATAATAATATACTATATATAATAATATTTATAATAATAAACCTTAATAAATATAATAACAAATATAAATATAATACTAATAAATAATAATAATAAGGATAATAATATATAACACTATTTTTAAGAAAAATAAAAAAAACTAATAAATAAACTTTTTTTATATGAATAATAAAAAGTATTATAACAATATTATTGCAGTATAAACTTCATTCATTATTACTACTGTAATAAATAAAATATTTCAAAACTTTTTAATATTAATATTAATAATACTTTTAAAGGAAATAAAAAATAATAATAATAACAAGTTTATTAATATTATTATAAAAATTTTATATAATAAATTTTACAAATAAATTTGTAAGTTTTTAGAAATTATTACTAAAAATAAAAAGGTTTAATTTTTTTTTAAAAATAATAACTATAACTTTTTTTTATTATATTTATTTAAAGTAGTATAAAATGTTATAAAAAAATTTAAGTTTCTATATATAATTATTGCTATTAATAAAAAGATTTAATTTTTTTAATAATAATAGTAATGATAAAAATATAATATAAAAAAAATTAACTTGTAAATTTTTAATAAATAAATAATAAATAAGTAAATAAATAAAAATAATAACTTTATATTAACTATTTCAAGTATAATAACATTTTTAATAATAGAAAACAAAAAGTTATAAAATAAAATAATAAAAATAATAACTTTTTTTAAATAATTTGATAAAAGTATTATAAAAAATAAAAAATTAAATAATGAATTTAAAAAAAAGTAAAAAAAAAATTATTATTTTTAAAAAATAAATAATAATAACTTTTTTGTTTTAATAATAATAGAAATAATGAATTAAAAAAATTATATATATATAAAATTTATAGTAAATAATAATAATAACTGTTTTATATTAATTAAAGTATTATAATAATTAATAATATAAAATAATAAAACTAAAAAATTGTATAAATAAATATTATTTTTTAAAATAAATATTAATCATAACTTTCTTTTATGAAGAAATAAAAGTATTATAACCTTTAGTAAAACTTACGATTATAATAAATTCTTTACAATAAATAATAACGAGAGTAGATTAACTTATAAAAGTATTATAGTATATACTAAAAATAATAAAACTAAAAAATTGTATAACTAAAATTTAATGTTTAAAATAAATAAAAAAATCTTTTTTATGATGTTGATAAAAGTATTTTAATAAATAATGAAAATATAATTTAAATAAAATAATCGTAAAGAAAACTTTTTTATATTAATAAATAAAAGTATTATAACAAGTAATAAATTAAATATATTCAAAATTAAATAAAGAAAATAATAAAAACTTTTTTATATTCATTAATAAAAAAATTATGATTCAAAATAAATTATTATTAGGATTTCTTAAATTTTTTTACTTTAATAATAATAAATTAATATATTTATAAAATATATATTAATAATACTTTTATTATACTCTTTATATAATAAAGTAAAATAAAAATATATCATTATAACTATAAGGTAAAAAATAAATGCTTCACAATAAAAAAAAAATTCTTTACTTTAATAAATAAAAATAATAATTTTGTTATATTGTTTATGTATAATATACAAAAATAATATATATACATATATAGATAAACTATTAACGCAAAAAAATAAAAAATAATCAAAATTTACTTCTCCATCATCAACGGCATCAGCTTCATAGCGATCAAGATTAGGATCAGGACGATAATCTCTAATAAAAAATAAAATATAAATATAAAATAATAACTTTAATAAATAATTTATAAAATAATAAAACTTTATAAAATGATTTATAAAATTTATAATTATCAAAATAAACATGCATTATATGTTGAATCTTCTAAAAAAAATTTTATTACGAAATAAAATCTATTAAATTAATAAATTAAAAAAAATTAAAAAATAAAGAAATAATCTTGTATTTTTCATAGATAAAAAAATTAAAAAAGTCATCTTTTCCAATAATTATGAATCTTAAAAAATGTTAAAAAGTAAAAAAAAATTAAAATTATATTAAATTTTTAATAAAATAAAAAAAGCAAAGAAAATTATGTTAAAACTTATTGCGTCAAAATTATTTAGAAAAGACTTGAAAAAAAAAATTATTAACTTAAATTATTAATAAAAAAACTCACAAGTAAATAAAAATTTATATTCTCCTAAAAAATAAAAATAAAAAGGAAATGAAAAAAGAACTAAAAAAATAAATCATGTTCTTATAATTAAAACAAAAAAAAATTTACAATTGAGTGAAAAGATAAATTTGCCAAAAAAAATAAAAATAAAATGGAATTAAAATAAATCATAATTTTAAAAAAAATTCAATTACTTATTATTACGTTAAATAAAAAATTTAAAAAAAGATATGATTAATAAGTTAACTCCTCCAAAAAATAAGTATAATCAAAACTTATAAATAGCTTAATTATAATTTATTAATATAATAAGAATTTAAATTGATATTAAAAAATAAAAAAAATTCATGCAATAAATAAAAAAAAATTAAGTTCTCTAGGGAATAAATTTAAATAAATAAAAACTAATAAATTTTAAATATAAGTTATTATTTCGTTCAATAATATAAAAAAGAGGGTTAAATTGGTATTATAAAATATAATAGAGTTCATAGAATAAATATAAGATTAAATCCCCCCAAAAAAATATCAAACTATAATAATAAATATTAAAGTATAATTTATTATTAAGTTCATAGTATATAAAGAAATATCATTTTTCTAGACTAATAAATAAAAAAAAAGAATTTCTCCAAATAAAAATTTTAAAATAAATTTTTAATAAATAAAAACGATAAAATATAAAAATTAAAATAAGAAAAATAATTAAAAAATATAAAAAATTTAATTCTGTAATAAAAAAAATTTATTTAACAAATATAAAAAAAATTAATGAAAAATTAATAAAAATATTTTTAAAACTTTAATTCTCCATAAAATTTAATAAAAAAAAAAATAAATTTTAAAAGTAGAAAATCAAATTCTCCAAAAAAAAAGAGTTGATAAAAATACAAAATTAATTAAAAAAGTAAACCATATTTTAATTAATCAGAAAATTTACTCAATAAATAGATAATAATAATAATTAATTTCTTAAGTGAAATAGAAAATTAAAATCTCCATAAATTATTAAATATTTTATTATTTTCAAATTACTCATCTTAAAAAAATTTTATTTTGGTCAAATAAAAAATTATGATAAAAAAATTAGAAAAAATTAAAAATTTATTAAACATAATTTCTCAAAAGTAAATAATATAAAGATAATTAAAATTTAAATAAATAAAAATTATAAAAAAAATATTTTAATATATATTATTACGTCAAATAATATAAGAAAATTAAATTTAATAACATTATCTATAAAAAATAAAAAAGTTAAAACGATTAAACAATTAATAATTATATAAAGATTAAATAAAATAAAAATAAAACAAAAGAAGTTTTAATATAAATTATAATTACCTTTTATATAGTAAAAAGAATTTAAATAAAATTTAGTTAATAAAAAAATTTTAATAAAAAATAAAAAATACAAAATTTTATTTAAACAATTTAATATAAAAAATATTCTTCAAAAAAAAATTGTAAATAATGAAAATTTTAATAATAAAATACGATAAATATTTTATTACAAATTACTATAACAATAAATAATATAATAAAAAAATAAAATTGATAAAATTATATAAAATAAAACAAATTTCATATTATTAAAAACTTAAAATTTAATATAAATAAAATAAATGAAAATAGTTAAATAACATAAAAAATTATAAATTTTATTAATTATTATAACAATCCACATTTAAATAAGTCAAATCTAAAACAATAAATAAATTATTCAATAAATTATATTCTTTAAATAATTATAAAAAAAAATTATAAATTACTAATAAATTTTACTTTTATATAAATCAAAACGACAACAAAAATAAATTTTCTAATAAATTATTTTCTTTAACATAAAAATTATAAAAAAATAAATAATTAAAATTATTATAAAAATTAACTTTATCAAGTAAGTAAAACTATAAGAAAAATAAATTAAAACTTAAAAATTAAAAAATTATATATAAAAAAATATACAAATTATTAAAACAATTTACTTTTAAATAAATCAAAACTAAAGCAAAAATAAATTTTTAGTATAAATTGAAAATTTTTTTTAAAAAAATGAAATATAAAAAAAATTATAAAATTTTAAAACAATTAACTTTTATTTAAATCATTTAAACAACAAAAAAAATTAATTCTTTTATAAATTTACATTAAAAAGAATATAATTCAGAAAATATTATAGAAATTTAAATTGCATTATTAAAATACTAAAACTTAAAAGATTATATTACATTCAAGAAAAACCTACTACTTATTATTATTAAATATTTTCTATATAATGACTATAATAATAAAAATAAAAATAAATTTTTATTAAAAATTAATATTAAATTATTTTCTTAAAAAAAAAATTAAAGTTAAAACAAAAATTTTTTTACTAAAAATTAATATTAAACTATTTTCTTTAGAACAATATAATAAAAATATAAAAATATTCATTAAATATTGAAACTTTCAACTTAAATATAAAATTTAAGTCCAAAAAATTTCTATTAAAAATTAATATTAAATTTTTAGTTTTATTTAAAGTATATTAAAAAATAAATTTCTACTTTAAAAAATTTTCTATTATCAATTAATAGCATAATATTTATTTATTCTATAAAATTTTAATTATAAATGTTATATAATTTCTTTTATAAAAAATATAATAATATAAATTTCACTGAATTCAAAAACTATAAACTTATAAAATTAAATCCTAACAAAATCTATTATTAATTAATATTAAATTACCTTCTTTTAAAAATTTATAATAAAAATAAAAATATAAATAATTTTAGATCTTTAAAAAAATAACTTTAATATAAATCAAAACAAATAACAAGAAATAAAGTAGAAATATTATAATTATAAAAAATGCTTTAATTTATATAATTAACTTAAAGAATTTGAAAAATATTAAATTTCTATTATAAATTAATACTAAATTATCTTCTTTATAAATATATTAATAATAATTGTCATTAATTTATAAAACTGTAAACTTTAAAAAAAAAAAAAAGAAATTTCTATTGTAATATTAAATTATTAATTTTAAAAAATTACTGTAATAAATTGAAATAAAATTAAACATTTTTTTCGTTAACGAATTTAATGTTAATAAAAAAATTAATAATTTTACAAATAAACAACAAAAATAACTTTTAAATATCATAACTAAAACAAGAGGTTCTACTACAAAATAAAATTAAATTATTTTATTTGAGTAAAAAAAAATTATTATATAAATTATTAATAAATTACTTTTTAATAAATCAAAACTAATATTAAATTGTTTTCGTAGAAAAATTTATAATATAATAATAATTAATACTACAAAAAAAAGTTCTAATAGAGATTATTATTAAATTATTATCTTTGAATAGTTTATAATAATAATAAAAAATTAAATAAATTATTAATAAAAAATAACTTTTAATAAAAATTTCAATTATATTAATTTTTTCCGTTAAAAAATTTGTTCTAAAAGTTATTAATAAAAAATGACATTTAAATAAATCAAAAATTAATGAAAAAAATTTATAAATAATTATTTTAATAAAATAGATAATAAAAAATAAATAATTTTATAAATATTAGTAAAAAAAATTCCTTTAAGAAAAAACAACTAAAACAAAAAAAAGATTCTATTATAAATTAATATTAAAATATTTTTTAACAACAAAGTTTAAATTCTTTAAATTATAAAGTATAATTTAGAGAAAAAGATAAAACAAAAATTCTACTCTAATAAAACATTGGATTTTTTTTAAAAAAATTATAAATTGAAAATTTTAATAAACCATAAAAACAATTGACATAAATTTTTATAACTAAAACAAAAAAGAAAAAAAGGATCCTTCTATAAATTAATATAAAATTGTTTAGCTTTTTAGATATTAACTTAAAAAAAAAATAATAAATTTTATTATCACAAAAACTATTACCTTTATAAAAAATTAATTAAAAAAAATTTTTTTTTAAAAAATAATAAAAACAATTATTTTTAAAAAATATTAAAAAAAGATTCAATATTATTATTTCTTTAAATAATTTACAATTATAAAAAATATAAATATATAAATTATTAAAAAAAATTGAAGATAAATCATAATTGATCAAGAAAGGATTATTAAACTATTATCGTTAAAGAATTTATAATAACAATAGATAATTTGTAAATTTTATAAAAAAATAATTTAAAAAATCCCTATTAAAATTAATAATAAATTTATAAATTATTAAAGAAAATAACTTTAATACATCATAACAGCAAAAAAAATTTATTATAAATTAATTTAAATTGCTTTCTTAAAAAAAAATAATATTAGAAGATTCGTTAAAATTTTAAGTTTATAAAATATAATAAAAAAAACTTCTACTTTAAACTAATATTAATTTATATTTACAAAAAAAATAACTTTCAAATAAATGAACACTAAAACAAAACAAAAATTCTACTATAAATTAATAGTAACTTATTTTCTTTAAAAATTTGTAATAAAGAAAATTTTTGTTATTAATTATTGACTTTTACATAAACAGAAACTAAAACAAAAAAAGGAGCCTACTAAAAAGTTAATATTTATTTACTTTCTTTATAAATTTATAATAAAAAATAAAAAAATTATTAACAAAAAAAAATTTAATTTAAAAATATTATAACGTTATTATTGTATCTTCTAAATCTTCTCCAAATTCTTCTTCTTCCAACTCTTCAATGTCCTCCAGTTCTCTCCACTCTTCCGTTTCATCTACAAAAATTTATATAAATTAATAATAATTCAATTTAATAAAAATAAATAAATATAAAAAAAGTAATCAGAAGATTTTTAAAGAATTTTGAATTATATTATATAATTACTTTATTAAAAAAAATTTAAGTATAAAAAGTATAAATAGTATTTAGATTATTATAATTTTTTTCTATACTCAAAAAATAACTACAAATTTTTACATAATTTAATAAATCAGTTTAGTAAAAAATATATAAATATATTAAGAAAAATGTAATCAGCTAATTTTTTTAAAAAATTTAAATTAACTTTTTTAAACACTTTAACTAAAAGGGAATAACTTAAAAAGTATAATAACCTAGATGATTATTACAAATTTTTTAAATACTTACAAATAACAAACTTTCATATTATAAAATTCATTTTTTTTTAAAAAAATATATATATATGTAACGAGATAAGTTAAAGGCTAATTTTTAAAAAAGATTATTTATAAAAAGAAGAAATAATAATATAAATCAACATAATATAATTTTTTTCTATATTTAAAAGTAGTAACAAATAAAAAAACTGCAAAAACTCTAAAATAAAATATAATTTATAATAATATAAGGATTACAATTATAAGTAATATAAAATTTTTTTTTTGTTCTAAAAAAAAATTCTAAACTCCAAAATAAAATTAAATTTTTGTAGTTTTCAATTACAATAATAACAAAATATTAATAAGTTATACAATAATAATATGAACAATAATAAAAGTAAATAAAATGCAGATGAATACCAACAAAAGGTACTTCAATTGCTTCTTCATTATCTCCGTTGACATAAGAATCAGGTGAATTAGAACTTTCTCGAATGGGCGACTAAAAAAATCCCAAAGGACAAATATATATATATATAAAAATTGTTATATTGTTTATAAAAAACACAAAAACTTTTTCAAAAAATGTTAGTTGTAAAAAGTTTACAACAAAGTAAAATTAGTAAAGGAAAAAGGTAAAATTAATCGTTGTGTTTTTTTTTTAAATTAAAAATTGCTATAAAACATATTGTATAATTAATGTAATAAAGTGCTTAATAAAATAAAATTACCATAATTTTAAAAAAAACTGTTAATAGTTTATAATAAAGTATAATTAGTTAATAAATAAAGAAATATTACTGTGAAAAGTTTACAAAACAAAATTGGCTGAAAAAATTATATTTTACTGTTAAAAGTTAATAATAATATAAATAATAAAAAATAGTGTATAACAAAAATTTAATAATGTATGTATTAGTAAAAATCGCTAAAAGTTACTAACCATAATTAATTCCTATAAAGCAAGACGAAAAGTTTCAAGTTACAAAAAAAAAAAGTAGAAGCAGAACGAAGTGTTTCCTCCTTGTTGACACATTTTAAAAGGCTTAAAGACACAAAATGAGACTTTGACTGCCAAAAACACATTAAAATGCACCAAAGTGATGCTAGAGCTAAAAGCTTAGCCAAGGCGCATATATAAAGCTTTTAGCACTTATTCACTTTAATTAGTTCTAACTTTAACATTTAATATATTAGTGAATAGATATTATTTAAACTTATTTATTTCCAGAATTTACTCATTATAATAGTATTTTATTTTAAACAATTTGACATTTATTATGTCATTTTTCTTATAAACTTTTTAGAATGAATATACGATGTAGGTAATAGTATAAGTATGTATAATATTAATGATACTACATTAGTAATATTTTATAATAATTATATAATCTAATATTAATAATAACAATTATGACATTAATAGAAATTGTTATAAATGGTGTAGTAACGTAGTTTTATTAATAATCTTTTTTATTTGTATTTACAACGTAAGTGAAGGTTTACTTGCTTTTTGTTCTAATTTTAAATGCTAAAAAAAAAGTCCTTGTAAAGGCTTTTTTAATGCTGGCTATATTACTTTCTCGGAACCCTCTTGAATTCTCCCTTATAAGAATCAGACAAAGCAGTTAAAGCTATTTCATTCATAACGATTGTAGCAGGCTAGCGAAAATATACAAATATTATAAGTCCAATAAATTTTCAAGGAAATCCTCGATGTGTATTTTTCTGAAAGCATTTTTCTCATAAGCGTGCCCTTAGAATACTTCAAGGAAAACCACGAGGAACTGTTTTATTTTTCTATGATTGAAGATTCTAATTCAAGGTAAGGAGAATAGTTTGTAGAAAAAAATTTACGTTTTGTAATAGCAAGAAAATCACAGGATAAGCATTAGTTCATAACACTCTCGACACAATATTTTACATATAAATAATATTAAGTTCAAAACCCTTAAATGAAGAAACAGATGTACTATTTTAGATAATAGATTGATCAGTTATAATTGATTATACTATTTTATAAAAATAATAATAATAGTAATAGTTAAACTCCTTATTTTGCATTTAAATAATACGATGTGATTAATACTAATTAGGTAGCTGTAAATTTAATAGCCCCAAGCGTGTAAAGTAAATAATAAAAGAGACAGTATACTCAAAAATAGAGTACAACTTCAGCTACACTTAAAGGATCAGTAATAAATTTTTTTTTTTAAGGTGAAAAAGGTTGGGAAAGTTTGGAATAATTAAGCAATTGAAGAAAACTAATTCGGACAAAATCTACTTAATAAACCTGTGGTTTAAGTATAGCGCAAGTTATCTCGATAAGAAGAAATTTCATAAGATATTAATCATTAAGCAAAAAATTATGGTTGCACGGGTTTTAGAAAAATCGGGATATTAGTATTATAGAATACTGAATAAAATAATAATGTTGTTGAGTTACTAGATTTTTCTTAAAAACACATTTAGAAAAGCCTACAATACTGGCCGCACAAAAATTTTTTATAGGAGAACTTCGTGATAACAAGCTTTTAGGTTTTGCTATCACGATAGTATTTCTAATATAGTTAAAAGTGGGGGCTTGTAACGCATAGGAATAGTAGTTTTTTCTTACAAAGTAGGCAGGGTCTTTTAAACGCCCATGAGAGAGTATATTTTACATTAATATAGATAATTTTAACAGTGTATATATCTGGAAGTATATAAATAGTAAAAAAAAAATAAACAGAAAAAAGCAGGAACATACAGAACTACGAAAAAGAAACGATGTTATACACAATAAGAAAGAAAATAAACACAACTCAAGACATAAACTTGCACGGAAGTATTCGAATAATAAAAAGTAGCTAAGCAAAAAGCTGGGGCTGTTTAGTACAGAACAGAACGAAGATGCTTTAATAGAAAAAGATTGAAAATAAAAACTATGTAAAAACAAAGGTAAAAGTAATAACATAGTAAACTGTGAACAGAGAAATAATAAAATAGAAAGCTTAGTCAGGGAGTTGAATTCCTCTTATTTATTAATAAAGCAAAAAAATATTCTAAAAAATTCAAACTGGTCTGTAGATTATACTTGTCATATACTTTATATATAAACTTGATAAAAAGCAATAAACTTTTATTTAAGTTATTATAAAAAATCTTGTCACGCTGTATTAATTAATAGCTGTTCCTTTTCTTTTGCTACGGTAGGGGTTGTGCTCCTCTGCAGAACTTTTCGGTTTTATGATAAACATATATTATTTTAGTATTCCAGCCTATATATTAATTTTTATAAAATAAACTCAGTGAAATTTTCCTTTTTTTTGTTTAGACCCATAATGTGAGGGAATTATAACTATCCGCCTTATCATAAATGCAAGATGATATTTAACTAAATTAAGTATTACTTCGATGAAAATATTTTAGATTAATATAATAAATTCTAAGCAATCATTCATAGAAACTAACGTGAACTAAAAAAAAAAAATTTGAAATTACTAATTTTTCTACGCCGCCGATTTACTTTGTAGGAAGAAAATATTACTAAAAAAATCCAAAATCGGAAAAAGGCATAATGAAATGTAGAAAACTACATAGTGAGCTTAATTTTGCATAAGTAAAAAAAAAATTATGAGGAATGTGAAAAGTTTTCCAAGCGTCGTTGTAAAATATATTTAATTAAAAGACCAATTCAGTAAAAAATATTTATTAGTTTCGTATCCCCCCCTCAAAAACACCATTGTTTATACTTTTTATGGTACTGTTGCTAATGAGAAAGCAAAAAGGAGGGGAGCAGGAAGAAATGCAACGCAACTAAATTGAAAAAACTTTATTGTATTAAAGCAAGGGACAAGCCAATTATACATCGCTTAGTTTTTAGTAAGAAACTGATTTAATAATTGCAAATCTCGCTTTTTTCTCAAAAAATTCCTGTGCAACGACCATTAGTTATAATATTTATATCAACAAATAATAATATTAATAAATTACCTCCTAACTTTCTTACCGACTGACTTAAGTAAAGTGGCACCAGCTTCATCTTTTCCTTTTAGCTTATCAGCAAAGCTTTCTATATCTTTTGCTCTGTAAGAGTAAGCCAAATATATAATATAATTTAACCCAGCTTTTTTTTTTTTTCATTATAGTATACCTCTCTTCTGTCGCAAAAAGCAACACTCGGTCAATTATTGGATATTCCCAACCGATATGGAAAGCTTTTATAGTTTTGTTCCAGTCTTCCTTAAGCATTTCCCAAGCGACTTCTCTGCTCGTTGGACTAAGAGCCAGATAAAAGTAGGTCATAAAATTTTCCCCCAGCTATTAATACATAGGAAGTGAACATTAAAAATTTTTGAAAAGCACTTGCACAGTTAAGTAGCGTCGACAATGAAAGTTATTTAAAAAGAAAACAAAAGGGTGCCTCATCCGAGGAAAGACTACTCATATAAGTTAAGAGCTCCTTTGTATCCTCCTCTATGCAAGCTGCAAGCGCCACCCTTGCAAACCACCTTTTTTTTTTTTAAGGCAAAATTTATTTCTGTTACACCAAATTAAAAAGAACTTACTCTTCCTTACTAATCTTGCGCAGCTCTTTAATATTCTCTTCAGTGCCTTTACATGCAGCAATAAAAAACACAGGAGCTTTAAACTCATCGGCCAGTGAAGTATTATCAGATAGAAATGTGTTAAATCTGCTTTTTTTTTTTTTTTTAAAAAAAAAAACTCTTAAATCCTATAAAAAGGTATGCAATAATCGATACATAACCTTTTTAAGGCCTCTTCAACCAAATTAGAATAATTTTGAAAACCTGCAAAATTCCACAAGTTCAGAGAAGCTTAGCTTCGAATATATTACTTATGAACTACCCAAAAACGGTATTAGCAATGGCGTTAATAGATGTTGCTCAGAGTCCTCAATGCCCTTCAGCTCCCAAGAAGCATTATCAAACTTGTCGCGAAAAAGAGCTTTTAGGTATGCCAACCAATTCTCTTTTGAAGGGCCAAAAATAATGTCAACTTTTACTAAGTAGCTTATAATGCCAATCCAATGAGCAACCTAGTATGTTATCAATTAAAAAAAATTATGGAGTTTTAGGGAAAGAAAACAAAAATTTAATAAGGTAGAACTTTTCTAGTATTTTGGTAGTCAAGAAACAGACTTAGCACATGGTGAGTCAACAAGTGGCCAGCCTGCAATCATCCAGAGTAACACAGGTATATAATGATAGCGTACATGCCAATCCCACTAACCTTGGAAACCACTATGGCCTCCTGTAAGACATGATCCTCATTTTTTGAACTTAAAGCTCCGTCCTTGGCAGCTTTGCCTAACGCTTCAAGCATGCTAGAAGAATAACTAACCCTGTAAAAGCCGACTTGGTTAGGATCTACTTTCATCCTAAAGTATAACAGAGCAATAGGAAAATTTTACACTCTACAGAGGCTTACAGTTGTTAAATAACTGTACCAAGCACTATTGGCAAGCTCATGCGGAAGTGTAATATTCTGTTCACGTTTTAAAATAAGCGTTTTATATGGCTTTTTAGAACCTTCACCAATTACGGAAAAATATATGGGCCAGACTGTCTCACTAGTAAGCTACAATGTAGAATAGTAATAGTGTCCTCTATTTAACATTGCCACAGGGTCACCAACATTCTCGCCTATGTCCAAGAAACGTTGTTGCCAAACATGCAAGGTATTTTTGTTTCTTCTCTCAACGTATAGAATGGGATAGCCTTATGGATTTTTTTTTTTTTTTTTTTTTTTGGTATTCGATTAAGTACTATATACTTTATTTTAAGTTGGCATGCTGACATACCTGCCGTATCAAACCAACGCGTAGCATATTTTACTTCCTCATTCTTTTTTTGTCGTAAGAGCATATTTAGTTAAAAACGTTGCTGCCAGAAATTATTAAGCATATTATAATGAAGACCTCACTCGAGAGCACATTCCACCAATCTGTAGAAGTTACAGACCCGTACTTATACTTTTTGAAAAAAGTCTATAATGTATATTAAAAAAATTAATTATGATAAAGTAATTAAAAAACGAGAAATTAAAATTCTAAGATATACTCTAGGACCACGAACGCTCGTAGCTAAACAAAGTTTGGACAACGCACCGTAGAATAATACATAACAATAAAATACCCGGACAGCACGCTGGAATACTACGGGATCCATACTATCAACAATTGCACGAAGGAGAGAAGCCGCTTTACCATAGCTTAGGTGGTAATGCATCTCATCCAAAGATTTTTTATCGCTAATAATTGGTTGTGAAGAGATGGATGCATCTATCTCTAACGCACGCTCTTTATAACTAATATTAAAGAGAGTAAACAAAGAGATCCCGCAAAAGCGTAGTTAACAATGGGCCTTACGTGTCTAGTATTTCCCAATAGTCTCCTTCCTTGTGTAATTGAGTCAAAGCGAAGGAGCCCATATAATTTGCGAAGCCTTCCTTTAACCATAGGTCCTATCGCAGCCTCAATATTAATGTGAATGCTCTTTAGTCTGGTCGACTATCTACCTTCCAATCAGACATAGTGACTAAATTTCCAAACCATTGATGGGCGACCTCATGAGCTATAACCAGAGCCAAACTTTTATTATTAAATTCATCTAAAGGTATTTCGACCTCTCCCTAACAAAATAATTTGAAAACGCTGGGTATGCCGCAGACTCGCGATGAAACGCAACAAAGGTTGAAAGTACCAAGACATTAGAACCAGCAATGCCTATAAGCCCCCACTCTTCCGTGGCTGCCACATAATTTCGCTCCCAAAAGAGCACGTCCAACTAAATAAAAATATTGCATTTAACAATTAAAAAAAAAAAAGTATATGAATACTAACCTTTTGTAAAGGGAGTTCTTGACCAGTAAAGTTGGTAAAAAAGGACAAAGTCTCAATAACTAAGCCGGATGTATAATTTCGTAATGCTGAGAGGCAAATAAGACAGTTTTAATAGAAAGCAGTATTTCTAATAAGGTGATATCTGTTATATACGTTCATAGGTTGATCCCGCTACCGAACAAACTTTAACAGGAAAACTGCTTTTTACTGGGTAACTCAAACAGCTTAACTCTCCGAATACAAAGGCGACCAGATAGGTGGACATAATCTAAAGGAGTAGAAATAAATTAAATATAGTATCGTGCATAAAGAAGAAGACTGATTACCGGAGTCGTTTCAAAGGAGACCGTTTGAAAGCCGTTTTGAGGAACAGCTGAGGCCACTGGAGTATTCGAAAGGGCAGTATAACTTTCAGGTATAGTCAACTGAATGTTAAAACGCGCTTTAAGAGATGGCACATCAAAACACGGGAAAACTTTGCGTGCATAACTTGGTTCGAACCTGGACCCTAAAGCCATAATATTATAATTGCTTATAATTTACTACTAAAAACTTCAGAAAACTAATATAAGTCACCGTAAAAATACTTCTTTTCTTTATCTTTTAGTTGGTATTCTGACTTTAAAAACCCTCCCTCTTGTTTAGCTAAATCCACTATTTCATTTATCTCACCTATGCACATTCCGCATTATTAGCATCGTTAGCAGGGATATAATTACTTTGCTACAAAGTGAAAACCTTGGTAAGATAAGAGCATTACATAGATTCCGGGCTTAAGCATTTGCTTAAAGTTGAAAGTGATTGTTTCATTTTTCTAAATATAATGAAATTGCATTAACTATATTTGGAAAAAGACAGTTTTTTTATACTGCTGAGTATTGTGGAGGTCCGTCACAGCTCACTTCCTTAAGGCTCTCTTTAATGACATAACTTGTTAAATTTAGTTTTAAGGCGTGCAATTCAATATATTTGCATTCTTTAGTAACATTAACTTCAATACTAATTGTTCCATTAAATGTATTATCTTCTAAGTTCGGTAGCAATGATATATTATATAGTACTGGAGCAAGTTTAGGTAGTGCATTTGTTGTCTCTAATATTATTAACTAGTAAATAAACTGGATTTTAAGAAGTTAATATGTTTCAACCTTTAGGCTCTAAAATTCCTGGCCACTTTGTGAGAGTATTTTCTTCTTTACCTTGTATAGTAGGTTTAACGGCATCCTTATAATAAAGCGTTAAAAAAACTATAACTGAAAAGGTAATCGTGACAGACTTAAGCATGATAGAACACACTAACAAAACAGTAAAGAAAAGAAAGGAGCCTATAATTTGATGTCTTTATAGTAAAAAAAAGTGCGCTTAAATACAAATATAAAGTTGTTTATATGTTAAACGACGCGATTAGTAAACAAAAAAAATTTATTATTTGAAAGATTAAGAAAAATATTATTATATCTATCTCTTTTATCCATTTCTCAGTTGGTATTAATGATTTGTACAATTTGCTGATAATTTTTTAAATAAAAAATAATTCTAACTAAAGAAAGCTTACACCTTTTTTCCGTTATTCACCTCAAAACACCCATTAGCGGTTGACAAGGTTTTTAACTAGTAGCGTGCTAACCGCTGTGGTTTATGCGGAATTTAAAGTTTCTAACAGGTAACAGGTTAATATGTAAAACCAACATACTGTATTGAGAGATGTCGTCGTAGCTCAGCGGTTAATAGTTGCATTGACGCGCAAACTTAAGGGCGTGGATCGATTCCCACAGACGCAACTCTCTTATTCAGTCTTTGATGGTCGCGTATTTAACCCTTCGCCTATATATTTTCTAATAGTGTGCGACGGTTTGGTATCGCAGGTTTAGGGTTCGGTTTTAATAAAAAGTAAACTTTGAACATACGAACTGTTGAGTATTACTTTCGTCATAGGACACTAAATAGCAAACCCTTTCGAGTTGGTGTTCCTCTTCGCTATCCTCTGTTATACTCGAGAAAAAAGTCAGAGAAGGCGCAAACTGGAGACAAGATCCTTAATAGTAATATTTTGTTCACTTATAACCATCTATTTCCGACTTGGTGAGTATTATTTGACATGTGGGTTAACAATGTATATAAATCATACGTACTGTTATCTCCAGATAAGCAGCGCGTCATCCGTTTTACCTTAAATAAACTGAAGTTACACGGTGTAAACTTGAAAATTAAATTTTAAGAAAGCTAAAAAAGTTGTAGCGAAAATTGGAGCAGCAAAACTACCCATAGGCCTATAATAGTCATACAATATTAGGAAAGAAGAGATTTAATGTCCAATTTGTTATTAATAAAGTACTCTATTGTATATTATAAATTTTAAAAGCAATGCTAATATAAAAGTTTTAATACCTACAGAACAATTAGTATTGTTTTTCGTTAAAAAAATAAACCCTTTCAAATTTTTTAGAGATAAGAGGTGTAATTGTTATACAAGACTTGTCAGGGGATTGTTACAATATACTCTTGTAAATTTAAGTGCAAGAAATGACCTTTTTAATGTTATTTTTTCCGTTTAACCTCGACAAAAATTACGTGCAATACCACGTGACCCCTCGCTACCTTGTAATTAATGTGGTTTAATCCGTCCCACACTTTTGGTATACCACCCTAAAGGCCTTTCACATTCCTATCAAAAACGTTTGTAGATAAGTTTTTAAATGAGGTAATAATTAGGAATTTTTAAAGTCATTCTATAACTGAAAACACAACAAATATATAAAGTTTTAGTACAATTACAAAAGGAAACCTCTAAGAGGCTTAATTTGATTTAACTTCTCTCTACTGGTAAACATATTCGTCCCTACATTTAACAAAATATTAAAGGTAACAAAAGAAGTATAGTGGCATTTATATTACTGAGGCCGGTATAATAGTATAGTAGGGTAAAACTCAATATTTGCGTCGTATATGCTACAGTATTTTTTAAGTAAATTTTATTTACGGCTGTAATAGTATCGTAAAGATTAGATATATAACACAATACTTTACGACATAATGGAAAAACTATTTTATTTTAACATTTCTTTTTTATTTTGAATTTTTAATTGTTTATTTATGTTTTATCAAATATCAATTAAAATATTAAATGAATATTCTTTTATTTCTTTTTATTTATTTTTTTTACCTCTCTGGGCGTTTCTTTTATTTTAGGCATTTACTGTCTAAAAAAGTATAGCAGTAATCTAACAAAAAGCTATACGTGATATTTTCATCCTTTATTATTATTTAAGTATAGTTGTTAAAAGCTTTTACGGAAATTGTGTGACTGAAAATTTCAATAATTCTTGGTTACGATCTGGTTATAGCAAAAAATCTATATAAAGTTTTATATATTCATGCTTATTTAATCTTAATTACGGCCTTAAAATTTAAAATTATAAAGCAGTAGAGCCGTCACACATGCGCTAAATTCAGGTTAATTTTTTTTTGAAGGCTGAAGAGTACGCCAAATAAAAATTTTGTGTAGTACAACTATGTAGAAGAGAGTTTTACTTAAGTTTTTCATTAATCGTTGCAAGTGAGAGAGCAATTATAACATTTACGCCAAGATTTGATATTAAAGAAACTTGGAACAAAAAAATTTTTGTTTAATTAAAAAAATAGTTGTTAAAGTGAATTATTAGCGTTGGCTAGTTTCTGATAAAAATGCTATTTAATCGAGAATAAATATATACAAACTACTTTTCCAACAACAATAATAATTTTTATTTGTAAGTAACTTTTACCTCAATATTATAATATTGATAATATATATAAAATTTTCAACATAATAATAGTATTATTATAAACAACTTTTACAATAATATATAATAATTATATATATATTATTTAACACCTTATAATAATATTATATATAAATAAATTCTGAATCAATATAAAAATGATAATATATATATAACTTTTGACTTATTTATAATATCTTGCTAAGCTGGTTATCGTTTTTAAAGATAAGCAACATCTCAAATGGTAATTAATTTGCTGAAAGTGTAAAGATTGAATAATGATACTGAAAGCATCACTGTAGAAATGCAATTTCTTATAAGATTAATTTCAAATGTTAGATTACAAATTCATGGTTAATAATTTATGAAATGTGTGTAAAGATATAATACTTATTTTACCAGGTTTATGTTATTAGAATATATAAAAAATTATCTATGTAAGGTTCACATATAAAAATTTAAAATGTAAAATGCGTTGTTTTAAACCAAAAACTGTCTAGAAAAATTAAAGACTTACGAATAAAAGTTTTTTATGTTTATTAGAACAGATTATAAAATATATAATATACAAAATATAAAATAAATAAAAAGTAAGCAAAAATTAACAGAATAAAGCTTTTTTTTTAATGAGTATAGGGTGCTTGGCAGGTCGAGCGCAGACCACTGAGTATGATTTGAGTGCAACCAGGGGGAGTTTTTTAATGATCTGTACTTCAGGGGAAAGTGTAGTACATGGCCGACTCCTAGGTCATCCGCCGCAGTACCAGTTAAGTTCTTAGAGATTTGACTTCTCCAGTCGGACGTATACAAAAAACCACTGCTCCAATCAACTGCCTCTTATTAGGTCATATTAAAAATACGGATATCAAATACTTAATGAAATTGGGCTCATATATAGTTTATACTAGGTATGTCTCCTTACCCAGTTCTAATACTAGAGTCATCTACTTATAAGAAGTACGTACTATTCTAGTTAGCTAAGTTACCTTAACCATAACTATACTTTTGTTCATGCAGCCTTACAACTAGGATACAATACTAGATAAAGACACCTATTTGAATAGTACCAGTTTCTAACTAGTGTACCAGCGTCTAGAATCAATGCCAATAGTATTGTTTCGAATTAGTTATTTTGTCAGTCATTATAGAGACTCTCAAGAGCCATTATTACTATCATAGCTTCCGGACTCATTTATTAGCCTCACCAGCTTATAGTTAATTCCGATGAATCTACCTACCCGTTCGTCTCAGAAAAGAATGGTACTCATTAAGCGAGCCCCCGCTGGCTGGAGGGCTTAAACCATATAAACTCAGTAACCACAGCCTTATAACTCTAAAAGTGAAAATGTAACCAGAAATTCGCCTTGAGAGTTTGAATTGAAGATTATACCTTCCGAAAGCACTACTGTATGCTATAGGTTCTACCATTTTTTAGAGCAGATCTTTCGACCCCGGCGTCAAAACCATTTTAGAGTCCTCCAAGGTACCACTTCGCCCTGATAACCTTTACCCAAAGCCCGAAAACCATATTCATAACTCAATGTTTGGTCATTCTTTGGAAGATAAAGATATTAAAACCTACTTGATTTTTCAGCTAAAATCCAAGGAATTAGGTCGTAGTAGAGGGTTATTAACCAAATCTCGGCGTCAGGTTCTACAACGAACGTGTACTTACACCTCGGCGGATTATCTGCCGTGATGGATCGGGGCAAAGTAAGAGGTAGCTCAATGACATCTTCGTGTAGTTCGGTAGAGACTACCTAAAAGCCTAGCTATTGAACTTAACTAGGGAGTCAATCTTTTTTGGGTACTTTAAGATATATCCTAAGGGCAAACAGCAATTTTTACTTCGTTAGAGAATGTACTTCAATGAACTATAACTACAAGTTTGAATGAAAGCAATAAAGGTAGAAGCTAACAGTCCAGTGCCCCATTAAGAGGCACAGTGCTCCCACTAAGGTCCCTACTCACACAGTTTTAAAAGGTTTTTAAATGACAACTGACTCCTACATTACTGTAATCAAAGATCAGTAAACGATGACCCCCGCAAGACAAGCGTTTAGGATGCTAAAAAGATAAAAATAGTGACGCTGGGCCAGAAGCGGGCATAGACTGAAAAGGCTTATCTCTTATACACGATTATTGGTGGGCTTGATGAGCCATAACTAGTGTCTTCATTTAGAAAAAATAGACTTCATTAGATTACTTTATTCACAAATTCTAATCTCCGTCACTATCATCTGTAAAGAATGCCCCGTATAGGTAAGAACCAAGAAATGTCTTCACTCATTTTAAAGTAATCCGAAAGCTCTAATCCTGGTAATAAAGCACTAAACCTTTACCACACTAGCTATAAGTCACCAATACTTGCTAGGAAAGTTAGCTAAGTAGCACAGATCACTTACGAATCCACTCGAGAGAGGAAAGATGCTTCGTACAGGTAAGCATCAAGAACTAATCTAGTTAGGAAATTAGTCATCATTGACGTGTAACACTCTATTGTTGATGCTTAGATACCAAATTAGGACTAGTCGAACCAAGTAAGTGTTAATTATCTAAAGTCAAAGAATGTAATGTTATTTAGGAATTCATTCAACTAGAATAACCTTACCTCTAAAGTGAAGAGATTTCCAAAAATTTGTTCTTTGTGTTAACCCGAATTTTACTTGTAAGTATTACTTTAATTTTTTTTTTCAAGTTTTATTTACTTTAATTTGAAAAATTACCTTATACTTAGACCTAGGACAGTCAGGAGAATGGAGAATACAACATTAACTAATCTAGCCTTAGCCTCTAAGTGAATAACATGGTACTATCTAGCTTTATACTTTTATATTAATACTTCTATTATTAAGTTCATATGGTACTAAAACGAGTACCAAAAGCCTTATTTTATATCACTCAAAAAGGAAGTTACCAACAATTTTTAGGCAAGAGCAAAGTGAATTCTAATATTGATCTTTTAATTAAGTAAAATTGTTAACTTGGAAGGCCTTTTAGAGTTATAATTAGCAAACTTTTTACTGTCACTAACCATATCAACAGGAGGCCTAGTTCCATTTAGTAAAAAGTCATTAGCTTTTTAAGAAGGCCCTATTTACTTCTAAAGTAGTAATGTCATAGAGCCATATGCCGCAGCATCAGGTAGCGTTATAATATTTTACTCTCTACATATCAGTAGTTTCCATAGCTTAGTTCTCTAATAACTAGCTTAACCTCGATAAAATCTACGGGTACCAGTTTTGATACCGATTACTGTTCATTCTTTCGAAGCCTTTAGCTATGAAACGTTTCTTACATCATTGCTAAGTCCCTCTCAACGATTAATATATTAGCTCTTCCTCAGAGTAGCCAGTCAGTAGTTAGCAACTTGGCGGCTGGGAAGAGCTTGAATTACTGAGGTCGAGAGTAGAGAGCGCTAAATTCATCAATTTTATTTAACCTTCAATCTAAGCTAATCGTCACTGGCATAAATTAGTTAAAAGATTATTACAAACAAGTATGCTAAAAAAGTTAAGTACTACATAACTCCAAGAAGCCCAATAAGCTAAGCACTGAATAACTAAAATTGGTAGCAGAGTCTAGATTACAACTGTTGTCTATTGAAGATTATCCCCAAGTCAAAGGTTTCTACTTTTTACAAATTTGGATTCTGTTGTTTCACCTTGGAAGAAGAAAAGACTCTTAAGAATTGTACCTAATTAGCGATGTAGTATTAAGGTGTTAGATAAAATAGTAAAAGATGATAGTGCCATTCAAGGGGTAAAAGATATAATAATTCTGTATACAAGATTTCGTAATTACTCTTTTAAGTGTGAAACGAAAGAAAAGTAGCCATGACGGCTCGCCGACTAATGTAAAGCCAAGTACTACCCCTATATATGCAGTAATTCTTTCAGTTGGCATCGAAATTAACTGGGAGGGAGTGATGCTATACCACAACTTTGAAAGCTGTTTCCTTCAAGGAGAAATTGAACCACTAATTTTTTTTATAAATTTATACTTTTTATATAATAATATTAATAAAAAATTTTAAGCTCCAGTTAATGTCATCATAAATACAATAGGTATACATAAAAATACCTGTAAAATATTTTTTACTATACAATTTGTTTTTCCTATTGAATAGGAAAGTTAGATAATTGTAAGGCTTGAAAACTTTTTATTATAGGGTAGAAACCAAATTGCACTGAATTAATAATTTTTTTTTACTATTTATGTAAATACATCTAACTACTTTACTTTTATCGTCTTTATATTTTAATTGATCGAGAAGGTGAGCTAAATAATTATATAAAATTTAATATAAAATTTAACACACTTTATAATAAAATAGACCTTTAGTCAATCTTATTTTTCAGCTTTAAGTAAATAATTAAACCTAAATATATTTAAATTTTTTTTTAAATAAAATAATTTAGCTTAGAAGAAAATTGGTATTTGTATAAATTTTAAGTTTATTAGTTTACTTAACGCTTCATATTGCACTACCTAGTTGCTAAATTTAATATTATATAATAAAAATTTAAATAGATAAAAGGATCTCAGGAACGCTTTACCATTTCGTCAAATGTAAAAACTTAAATAAGGAATTATAAAGTGGCTCAAGTTTCCAATTTAAATATAAATTCTAAAGTTATTACTTCTTGGAAGTTACTTTACTCAATTTACCGGTAAAACATATATCTTGTGTTGTTATAACAAAATCTTTGTAGTATATATACTACTACAATTTAGATTAAAAAAAATTAGAATGTTATAAGCTATAATAAAAGCTTAAACTGACAATTAGCAATAGAACATACTCGAGCACGCCGAGCACACAGATTGTTTTAAAGTATGAAGCTTTCTACAATACGAGTATAACTAATTTTTCAAGTTCAGGGCTGCCAATAATTAACTGAAGATACCTGATAACAATAGAGTCTCTCTTTTATGCTAACTGGAATTTATTATTAAGCTTTTTAAATTATAATTAACTAACTATGAGTTTTTATTTATTAACAAACTAAGGGACTCGAGATTTGGGAAGCTATAACTAACTAATATCTATTGTACGTTACTTAAAAAAGAAAAGAACACAGTGATCGGTGAGAATTTCAACTAAATGCATCAATTGTTAACTGGTAAAGTTCAATGTTTTTAGTAGCTTGATTTACAAAATGTACATATTCTCTAAACTTTAAGCATCTTAAATTGATTACTAAAAAATCATAGAAATTCTATGACATAAGAGTAATTTAGATATATTTGAACATGTATTGTTATGTTTTTGTTAAACATTTAAGTTTGTACTTTTGCGAGTACGTTTCCATTATTCTTCTAAATTTTGTCACATTTATTATTGTCTACTAATAATATATTACCCTCGTTATATTTTGGTTTTTATCTCAAAATCATTTTCGTTACTGATACATCTGGTTAATAGGTAAAAGTTTGATGTACTGCTATTATATGAGGTAAGATTTTTTGTTTTATTGAAGTTAGTCTTGAAATGATTGTTTCCGTCCGTAAAGGTTTTTCATATCGGATAACTTCCCTCTACCAAAGGATAATCTTAGTACTGCAATTTTGTTTGGTTTAACTTGTAGCCCGAAAGTCCCAGGCTAACTAATTGAACACAACTTTTTTTTTTTTTTTTGCAGAATCCAATCTTATTATTCACATAGTCTCCTTCAGGAGCGATACAATCATTCCAATGCTTCTCTAAAATTTCTACACATTTTTATAGAACGAATTGTTTTTGCCTTCAAATAGACCTCTGTTTCGTCAATGGTTTCGTTTAATACACATTTCTTTCCTTTGATCAATTTATTTTATTTTCTTTTAAAATTTTTTCTAATATTATGAATATTATGTACTTGAGTTAAAAATTCTAATTGACTATTGACTATATATGTAATAAAAATGTTTCTTTTTATTTCTTAATCGTTAATAGTGTAAATTACATTTTATATAATTGTAAAGTAAACATTTAAGGAAACTAAAAGAAAAGGTTTGTGATCACGCAATAGACAAGATTAATAATTTTAAGTTTCTCTATAAATATTAAAGTATTAGAAAATTTAACGAACCTTTTCACACTTTAACAGAGGAAGATTTAGATAACAATATAGACCAAAGAAAGATAAAAGGAATAGTTTACTGAAGTTTTTTATTGAACTTGCAAACTGAATGAAAGATAGACTGAATAATTTTATTTCTACAAAGTTTTAATAACAAGGGATCTCTTTAAATAAATTCGAACTTTAAAGATGATCAATAGGTTATATTAATTGGCAAAGGTGAAAACTTTTAAGTTGGAGGCCTCGATAGAGATCTTTGGCCAAAAAGACGAGTTATTTTTATAAACAACAGCTTTCTTTTTCATGCCTATGTAAGGCCTAAAAGTACAGTTTATTTTTGTCAAAGAGCTAGTTATTATAATATAATAAAAATTCCTCTTTTTTCAAAATTGTCTCTACTATATAATCAATTACTAAAGCTAAGTTAAAAAATTTTTAAGCCGTTTAAAATAGTTCCTACTTTAGTTATCCCGAAAGTCCGCTTCTCAACGGTAACTACGGCATTAAGCTGTTGCCCAGGTATAACAGTTTTGAAAAAGAGAGGCGAAAGTTTTGAAGGTTTACTGTACAGCCTTCTTACGAATACAGATAGAAATACTCAGTTTATCATAATAAGCTATAGATTTTATATTTTAATGCATACTACTCCTTACTGTTCTTTCCTCTGTAGCTGGACTAACCTTGGCCGAAAGTCTAAACAAAAAACTGGTGCAATATTGAAAGAATTCTCATCTTTATTTAGCCTTTCCCTGCCTTCCTCGATTTTATACGAGATCATAATCAGAGTTTTTGTTAAAGGGTGGTTGAAAACTTGCACTTTCCTCTAAGAGATTAACTTAATCTTATAAAAAGAGTTCGCCAAAAAATTATGATACCCCACCCCCTTTAAGGGCCGGAACCGGGTAATGGGAAGAAAAAACAAAAGCGGTGAAAAGATAAAACGCCCATAAGTCTAGTTAACAATAACCTAAATTTAGAATAACAAAGATTTGTTAAAAAAATTTCTATAAAATGTCCCTTTGCTGGAAGCTGAGGTTCCCTTCTTCACACTTGGTCGACTATCAAAGTGACTTAGTCGCCTAAAACGAAGTTTCTTTAATGAATTCACTCATTTCTTTTACTTTATCAAGTAGTTTTTTTCTAGTACACCCTCCTATAACCCTATTTAAGTTGTCCTTGTAAAGATTAAGTATTAAAAAAAGAAAGATTTTCTGGTGAGTGGATTTAATTTTTAAGGCTGTAGGGGGAGATAAAAACTTTGTCGGTAAAAAACTACAAAAAATCATGTATTACAATAAAACCACTTTAATGGGATAAGATGGTATCTATTTAAATATGTAGAAAAAACGCCTTGAAAAAATTGTAGAAGTCGATGTCGGGGTAGAGAACTGATGACATAAGGTTATTATTTAATGTTTACTTTATAACCATAATCTTTTGAAATGAAAAATGTTCTAAGATATTACTAAAGCTTCTCTTCGAAAAAAAAAATTGGTCTTTAAATAATTTAAAAAAGTATAAACTGACAAGAGTTAACTAACGCTTAAATCAATTAAAATATTAAAAATTTATTCGTGATAAGTAAAACATGTAACCGTAAACTTTATTGTCATAATTTTGGTGACAAAGCTATAATTGGGGCACACTCAACAACTGTAGAATTACTCTAAAGGTCAGATGACCCGTTGCCAACCCGATGGTCCCCCAGCTTTCCTTGTTTTCGAGTGTTGTGATTTAAAGCAAGGTCTGCCTTTTCGCACCTCGTTTTATCAAACGAATAAAAGTCTTCAATTTTATTTTTATATGTGCAATTCTTTGTGGTAAAGTAGGGCTTATTTTGATAATGAATTCTTGCACAGCAGAAAAAAACTTCGCCCAGCGTTATCTCGCTAAAAAGCGAGAAACAAGTCATATTTAATATTATAATTATTTAAGAAACTCTATATACACTCTTGTGGAATTACTAAACGAATTAGGACCGATATACTTGATTGGATTTTCTTTTAAATTTCTATATATTAAAAATAATAAAGACATTTTGCATATTAAAATGTAATTAAGTAACATAAAAAATGCATATAAATCGTTTTCTTATAAAAAGAATAGTTAATCCTTTTATGTGCCTTTATAACTTACCGCAATTTCCGTATAATTAATTTTTTTATATAAAATATACCTATTAATAAGTTTTTTAATAATAAAGAAACTCACAGAAATCTTAAGCTTGGAACTTTCGACTTTGATGCTGAACAAGCTAGAATTCGCGTAATGGAATTATTAGAAATGTTCCTGCAGAATTAGTATAGTTAGCCAAAATTTACCCCCTGATAAACTTGCTTTCGCGGAAAATATGAGTATAGTGAATATATATATATACCTTGAGTAAGTTTTATTTAAAATTTTTAAAAAAAATTATATAGTAATTTTGAGGAAAAAAAACTCACAAATCTTCTAAATCCTTTAGTCCGGTAAAGGTGTCTTTCTCGATCAGAGTAAGTTTGTTACTGTGTAACAATCTTAATTAAAGTAAAGATATAAATAGTGTATTGGTACAAAGCTTGAAACATTTAGAAGCAAAGGTAGGGGATTGAAGAATTCGGTGATTAATAATGCTTACAATGTTGTTAGGGTTTGCAAATCAGAAAATGCATTATTTTCAATTGATGTCAAAGCGTTACTTCTTAAAACTCTGTATTACATAGCTCATATTAAATTCTTGTTAAAAGTAGTTTGTTCTGTGGACTACACAGTTATAAAAGAGTGTCCTTCTGCAATTAACCTTTATTATGCTAATTAACTGTCTTTGGTGGTAAAGAAAATACAATAACTATAAACGTTTATAATAAAAAAGCATTAGCAGATCGTTAGGGAACTCTCACACTTGCAATTACTAAAAAGCATAAAGTAAATAGTTTTGGAAATATCCTTTCCTTTTCTTTTATAAATTATAAATAGATTATAAATTTAGATGTGCAACTATTTCGACTTATTAGATGTATTACAGTGTGCGTCTTTTTAAGCATATATTAACCTGGGATTAAAAACTATGAATAAAATATTTTACTTACAACATAAAAAGAGCCAGATAAGTAAAGAGTTTAAATCTAAGAGAGAGTGATTACTATTTCAACTGTGCCCAAATTTGCAATATTTTTACAAGACCCTCGAAAACTAATTAAGTTTGCCTCTACCAGCCGAACAAAGCAAATAAAGCAAATTTTTTTACTACCATTTATACAAGTAGAATTTTTAGATGGTGAAAAATTATTAAAAAAGAAAGAAAATTATAATGCCGTCGTACACCTTTCCGATATTTCACCTTAAATGCATTTGAACTCCAGCAAATTACTATAATAATTTCCTATTAAACTTATTTTAAGGTATATAACGTGGATAATACTACTAGTGCAAGCATATTTGCCTATCAACCTAAATAAATGCATTGCTCCGTATACTTTTTAAAATAATTATGAACATTATAATTTTGGTAAACTATAACATCAGAAACTTTTATTGTATTGCTTTTATTAAAGGAAAAAGAAAGAGGCATAACCATCACAAACAGTATTAAAATTTTAACAGAGGCATAACTCTGAGCTTTTTAATTGTACTAGAAGCACTTGACTATTTGTACACTTTTGCACTAATCTCTTTTAAATCTAAAGTGCAGTGTAACAAAATAAATAATGCTGTAAACCGTGCGCCTAGTATATTCCAGAACATTTTGCAATATAAGAGTTTTAGTCCTTATTACGTGTAGGCCTCTCTAACTATTATAAATTTCCAAGTAGAAAAAATAACAAAGATGTTTAAAATATATAAAACGGTCTATCGAAACTTATTACTCTCAGAATTCTAACCAATTCTTTTTTAACACTTGGGCGTCCCTGGATCGGAAATCTCTTGCCATGAAAACTCTTAAGATTAATATTATGTAAACTTTAAATAAAGTATTAAAAAGGCCACTAATTTTTTGTGTGGTTTTGAAATTAATCGTTACATATATATGAAGTAAAACAATAACTCTACAAACAAGATTTTAAATTTTTATTTATAAATTTAAATAGTATATTACAACTAAAAAGTATATTTTAAGAATAAATAATTACAACTTAATAGAAAAATTCAAACTTACAATGCTAACAATCTAGAGAGACCCACAAACGTTCGGGCGCCAATATGCTTAATTTCATTTTCTTGGAGAAGTCTTCATACATATGATTATTAATTTTAAGTTTTAGAATAAAATTAATAATAGCAAGCATAAAGACAAATTCAGCTTCGTTTCCTAAGTATGTCAAATAGTGGTAATACAGTACACGAACTTTTTACTTACAGAAATAATAAATCTTTCGCATCTTGAAAAGCATAATCATCGATCGCTGTGATACTATTGTTTTTTAAATTTCTATTTCAAAAGTGTAAAACAATTAACAATTTGGATTTTTATTGTGCGTTGCTGGATAAACTAACTAATCTTAGATATTCTTAATATAATAAATAAAAGCCATAAAAGTTGATAGGAGAATTCAGCCTTAACAAAAAACCTACAAACTTATTAAAAGTGTACTTACTAAGTAGGACTATTATTTAATAACTTAGCATGATTTTCAGGTTTCAAAAGGGCGAAAGCGAATAAGAGATTATTATGTCTTTCATAATGGAACAATGTGAAACTATTATTTAAAACACACTCTTTTTCAGTGTCTTTCAATATAACTCAATAAATTAAGAAGTTTACCTTTCTAAACTTAGCTAAAATAACGCATAAAAACAGTTTTTACCTAAACAACCTTGCGTACCAAATATTTAGGGGCAAACTAAATATTTATTATAAGCTTACATAAAAGTCAAGAGAGTGAGCCCCTCAAATGTATAAGTCGAAATCCTCTCCAGTTTGTTACACGAGAGATCACTTTTTTTAAAAGTATTAATGAAATAACGCATTAACTATTTATAATATTAAAAAGGTAACTCTTACATTTCCTTTAATACTATAGGGTTGCCTAGGATTATAGGTTCAAAGAGCATTAGATGACAGTGTGATAAATTCCTTATGTGATTGATAATTATACTATTAATAATCAAAATTTGAAAGCATATATATCCTAGTTAAAAGGTTTTGGCTTTAAACAAAACCATTACGCTTAATTATGCTAGCTAAATAGATGGCCTGGTCTTATGTTAAATATTTATTTAGTTAATTTCATTCGGAATTTTATAATACTGAACTAACCGCCTAACCTTCATGCTCTACCATTTAAAATAAATAAATATTTTAATGCATGGTACGCATACAAATAAATACGTACAACTTCTTGATGTTTTTATATGGAGGGTAACATCTTTGAAGACTTAGGGTCTTTCCAGAAAGTTCAGCAAGAAGAAGAACAAGCAAAAATAGGTCCATGGCTCCCACTGCGACAAAAATAACGAGCGCAGTCCCTCTCGCGTTACTTTTATATGTCCTAAAATAATGCTTCTTTTGTGCCTTATCTAAAGTGGAAATGTTGTTTTGTAAAAGCATTTTGAATGACCAAGTTTGAAATCTTTATTGGATCGGAAAGTAAAGTTTTTTTTTGCTATACTATTTATTAGATATTCTTTTAAAAAAAGTTTAAAAGAAAAATGGCCACTAATAATTATATGTCTTATTCTTTATACAGAAAACACATAGCTAATAATATCACTGCCGACACTGCTCTTTTATTTTTTAAAAGTGCATCTAATTTTTATCTTAAAAAAAAAGTTATTGGCGTTTTAAGCTCGCACTTGTGCTGTAGATTAAAAATATGTAGTAAAATTGGAATATATCTGCTTAAACTATACTTTAACTTAGCAATAGTCATTAAGAAATAGACTGTAAGCCTTCTATTCTTCAAATTCTTAGGAAAATATACACCTTCAAAAAGCCATTAATTTGCTAATTTAATCTTTTTACTGACGTCTTTATAGTATATCCTTTATAAAAATTAACCCGAGTTTTACTTATAAATTTTAATATCAACTTTATTCACTTTCAAAAAAATTAAGAATTAAGTATAAAACATGTGAAACTTGCTTTTTTTCGATATTACTTGTTAGTTTGCTATGTTATCCTTTATTTTTTTCATGTAGACTACCAAGGAAAATAAGTGTTACTAGAAAAATTTATAAAGATATTGGACAATTATATTTCGTCCAGTAAAAATAGTTTTTTCCATTTACAACTGTAATTTTTTTGCGAGTCATTAATGATTTTAGACTTTTAATAAGAAAAAAATTTTTGTGACAAGCACTATTATCGTTCAAAGAAAACTCTTTTGCTCTTACGAGTTCTTACTCAGTATGTTAATTTATAATTTATATTGAACTTATGTTTTTTAAATTTCGGTTTAAAGTTAGAAAAATGGTATCACCCACCTTTTACTATATCCTTACAGCTTATAAAAAGTACATGCTACTTTTCTTATGTTTAGTATACACCATAAAATAGGGAACAGTATAGTTTAATTATAGTTATGTAGTAAACCTTCCACCAAAGCAGTAAAGGACAGCTACCTTAACAACCAGATATAGTATTTGTAAGCCCAAGATTTAAGATTAAAATGCCTCGACGTAAACTAAATCTTAGATAAGGCTTTTCTTTGAGAAAAGTAAATTAGATTATGTATTTTTTACTGTTCAATATCATCTTTGTTCTGTTTTTTTTTCCTCGGTGATATTAATAATCTCTGACTTATACATAGGAAAGCTTAGGATGTCGTAAACTATAGCTGAACTTGTTTATATAGCATTATTTAAGTTTTTATCTACAAGTCACTGAATGTTTATGGTCACTAATTATAGCCAAGTGTTTAAAAACAAGGGTATTTTTATTAATTTTTTAATAGCTTCTGGCCCCACTAAGCGTTTCGTTGAGAGTATTTACAACTTGATTAACGTGGTGTAAAAAAAATATATATATATATAAATTGTTATTATTATAATTAGAAAAAGTATATTAAAAAGGGAATGTAATGTATTTAGTAATGAACCTTTTTTACCTCTCGCCTAAACTATTATACTAGCATATTTAGACGCGGTAGAACTCTAAAGACAATAACGCGTTTTCATCTTTTTTTATTATTTAACTCCAATGAGATTAACTATAAACGTTACAATAAATAGATAGCTCCATCTATTTTTCATTTTAAAAAGGGTTTATTTTATTAACGCTGAGAAGAAAAGTGGAGTTGCTTGCGCTGTTAGTATAGTCATTAAGACTACGATTGGAGAGGCTGCTAGCCCTTTTTATTAATAGAAGAGTAGCTTAGTACTATCAAAAATTAGTGACACAATGTTTTTACCATTAGTATTATATTGGATATGCTCCAATACTGTAATAATCTGGAAGTAGTGCTAACTTTGTTAGCAAACATAATATGGCTGTAGAGTTTTTAATTTTTAAAAAATAGAACATTAAATTAATATGATATGTTAAAAAGAGAAATTAAATAATAAGACTACAAAAGCACTTTCTTATAATGAAAAAGTTATATTTAGGCAATTTTACACGTTGCTTGGAGTCTTCCTTTGGACTACTAGTAACTTTGAACTGGTATCTAAATAAATTTTAATTAAAAAACTGGTATCTCTTTAAATAAGTTGTTGAAAAAGTACTTAAAAACAAGAAATGCTTGATACGGAGATATTAGGTTCGGTTTAACATGACAAGTATTACTAAGAGTAGAATATTTACCTTTCTAAAATCCACTTTTTTTCTTGTTTTTGGTGGTTGATAAGTCTCAACACTAAAGGGAAAAGAGCATAAAATAAGAAACAACTATACATGATGCAAAAAAAAAAAAGCTAAAACTTGAGCAAGAAAGCAGTATGACAATAATTGTAACGCTTGGCAGACAATAGTATATTGTTTTTTTTAATATCTTTTGTTATATATAAGGTTGCTCTAATTAAATACCAACAATAATTTACCAAGCAGAATATAAGCTTAGAAACAAGTTTTATGCAATGTTTCACTGTTGAGCAAGGCCAATTCTCTAGTATTATAACAATTCCTTTTCAAGTTTATCAATATAAATATATTTATAAAGATAAAAGAGAAGGGCGTTGGAATACAATAGAGACCAAAAATTACAATTTTTTATAGCTACTAAATTACAACGAACGCTTTCACGACTATCTTAATCTTTTCACCTGTAAAAACGAGTTCTTTAAAGTATGCCAGCATTGTGAGGTCAAGTGTTCTTGATTGCAAACTTTGTTAGAATTTAGATGGATAAGGTTAACGTCAGTCCCCACAGAAATATGTGTAGCTACATGATTATAAGTATCGGGAGATAGCTCACAGTTGAATATCTTTTAGTCAGTTTGCTCTCTCCCGGTGTAGTACATGCACTCTGCGAAAAAATTTTATTTAATTTCGAACTAAACCCCACCTTACTATCTACGTTATTGTTTTTTTTCCTCGATTTGTAATAAGGCTTCCATGACCTCAGGGTGTGTAACGAAACGGCTGACCCTGGTTTTGTGAGATGGGCATCAAATGTTTGGGTTAGAAGTGATTTTAGTGGTGCGATGTAGATATTGTTGAGTTGGATTTTCGTTTAGTTACCATAAGGGTAATTTGAAAGAGAAGCACGTCGAATCTGAACCTGAGGAGCTATCTTCGAATGATGAAAACGAGTCAACTACAGAAAAAAAGCAGAACACAAACATTAGAGTTATGGAAAGAACACTTTCAAATGGTTTGCATATTTTTAAAAGTCAAAAGTCTGAACGAGGGAACATAACCTAATTACACTCCTTTCAGAGTCCAGCAAAACAGAAAGGGAATTATTGTTCACAGATGAAATATTGAACGATATAATTTAACGTAAAACTGAAAGATCTCGCACGTTAGCCTGCGTCTTTTTTCAGAAGATAGATACGATAACAGGGGTGTATATAACACAGAATTACGAGAGTTTCTAGGGATCTTAATATTTTTTTCAGTCTTTTAACCAATTAATGAAGAATTTAAAGCGCTGTTCACTACAGATGGCACCGGTCGCGGTATCTATCGTTGCAACACCTCTTTGAAGCGAACGCCGGTCATTTTAGCACGCGTTCGCTTAAGCAATGCATCTGATAGAGCAGAGAGAAATAAAAACTGATACAAGGTCTGCAAATACATTTGGTTTCTAAGTCATTTGTAAAAAATTGTCAACAATACTATCCCATAGAATAATACGCTTGCGTAGACGAAATGCTTGTTGGATTTAGGGGGCAATTCAAATTCCGCACGTATATGCCAAAGAAACTTCGACAATACACTTTAGAAGTTATGGTACTGAACAATGCGAAGACCCACAACCTTTGAATACCTATATTTATTCTGGCAAGGACAGCGATGGATTTACCCTTTCTGAAGATGAAAAAAAGAAGGGAAAAACCGCTCGGTCAACGTTTGGCTTCTCCTACCCTTGAAACAAAACGAAATATCCTTCCCCCTTGCATTGGAGCTAAAGAGGAAACAACTGACATCCGTGGAGGCCCGGAGAAAGGACAAAAGTCAAGTACGGCATGAATTACTTACTGTACGAGGAAAGAAGATATGTTTGCCCAGAGTTTCGTCAACGCACCATAACAGCTGTATTCACCCAAGGTCAGGATAATCCGTAATCATCGAGTTTTACAGTGGCCAAAGAAGGTGTGGACGCTTTGAACGAAAAATGGACCTGTCGACCAACCAACCGATGGCCTCAAACTATCTTCTTATACTCTTTAAACATTAGCCTCGAGTAGTAATTTTTACGTCTTTAACTTATTACACTTTCCATGCAAGAAGGAACTGAAATATTATTTATATATATTATTTCATTTATAAATATCTGCTAGCTCAGAAAGAATCAGCTTTTTAAAGAGCTTTAAACTATATTAACTGTTTCCTTGAAGTAGAACGGATTTAGATATGAAAGTCTTCTCCATGCGATATATTTTATTTTATTGAAAAGTTAAGTAAAAATGCTTAGCTTACACCGAAAGGGGGATATCCCTTAAATTTTATGATAGCTTCAAGCTTATAATTGAATAATTGAACGCGTAGTTAATATTTAAATAGTTAAAACGCATCATTTTTATTAACCTTTACAGATGAATTGAATTTAGCGTACTGGTTATAAATTTTTAATTTAAATATTTTTCTTGACTGAAAGGCACCCTTAAGCTGCGAACTTTTACTCCGGGTGAATGCTATACAGAAGAAATATTAAGTTCACAATGCGTCAAATTTGGAGAAAAGCGGCAGTTCTTTCGTTGTAACCGTTCTAAAATATACATCTTCGTAATTCCTTACAAAAGTCTTTTAATGCACCTAAGCGAACGCCTAGCTTTTCTGGGGAACGGCAATAATTATAAAGGCGAACAGTACTAACTTTCAATTACTACTGATTTAAAAAATTTCTAACTCCCTAATATAAAAAAGATGAGTTAACTTGATAAAGGTAAAAAGTGATCTTGTTTTAACTACAGAAACAGACAAGATACTATATGAATTTTTTACTTAAGTCATATTAGATTACTTTTCATCTGGTCTCGTTTTAACAACAAATGAACTTTTTGAGTCCAATAATATACAATACGTTAAGATTTATAGAGTTTTCTAACAGAAAACTTAACGGCACGGTTATAATGAAAGAAAAACACTTCTATTAGGGTCTGTTTTGTGTTAGAAATAAGGTGTTTTCGTACATATCTCAAACGACAGGAGGGATAATTAAGACGCTAGCACCGCTGCACTAGTTAAAAATAATATATCTAAAATATATTTTTCTTTCTCTTTCGAAATGATATCTACGAAACCAAAAGTTATAAAAAGAAAATTTGGATATATAATGAAAAAATGTTTTTTTTAGTACTAACCAAGAACGACCAATCTATGAAACTTATAATTTATATAAATTACTTCTGATCCTATTGTGTTGGAGTTAATGGCCAAATCGAATTATTTTCATTGCTTTTTTTTAAGTAATAATTATTGTTAAATTAGTTACATTTTTTTAAATAGATAATAGTACTAATAATTACTTTATTACTACTTTATTTTAAGGTTATATCATTAACTGTTAAACTAGTATAAACGTAATTTATTACCTCAAACTTCACGTATCCTTTTCAGGATAACTTTAACTTTAATTTTTAAAGCCAACGTTTTTTACTTGCTGTTATTAAAGACTCTCTCATTTCTTTTTCCCATGAAAATATATTAATTTAGGGAACTGAGGGCCTTTTTTTTAATGATTTACCAATGTTAAATCAAGTAGACACTATGGAAGGGATCTTGGAAGGGGGATGTATATAACTATATAGTAAAAAAGTAAATTGCTATCGACTTTCGAACATCTGAAAACAATGTAAATGTTATTCTTATGAGCACACATAATAACTAAACTTCTACCTTCAACCCGCGAGAACTAAACAAGAAGCTTTAATATTTATAGATTTTTCAGTGTTTACTTTTAAATTGAGGCGGAACTTTTGCTTTTAAAAGCAACTATAAAGTATGTCTTTAAATCAAATTATTTGAAACTTGATATTCTCTTGCTTATTGATAGTTATATAGAAAATAAATTATAAACTTATATTACTAAAATAAAAGTGGTAACCTTTTTTTTATATCGCTTATGTCTGAATAATCTTAAGCTAACTAAGTGTATGACCTATAAAGTAGTGCAAAATAAGAGCCGACGACCAAGAAGCTTTGTTTAAAATTTTTAGGGAGATATTCATTTAAAACCCCTCGGAAGAAGATGAAAAAGTTATGTGGAAGAATATAAATTTTTTTTTGAGCACTGGCATACCACGGTCGGTCTTCTTATTAAGACCTTAAGCCAGTTACTCTGAATGCCCCTCTTCTGTAGGGGTTGGGGAACGAGTGCCCACCAGTGTACGCTCTTTTGAGGGCTATAATGACTCCCCCGAAGGACTGAAAAAGCGGAAAATCTCGGGCCTTCCGCCATTCGGCCTAGTGGAGTGGAAAACCGCTAAAAACCACCACCGGGAGAGGTGGCCTAGGCATGAGACCTCAGGCCACCTGGAGATACTGGCCAGCACCACTAATATTTTTGTACTAATTAGTAGTTCTGAATACCTTAATAGCCTTTTTTATGTTAAGAAAAGCAAGTTCCTTAATTCAACAAAATTAAGATTATAATGCAAGCCAACTATAAATCTATTAAAAAGTCTGATCAAAATAGTGATTATAAAAAAAATGTTTTTAATGTTAGTAATTATTTTTATCACAAATATTTTTTCCTTTCAATGACTATTGTATTAATTGATTAAATAATTATAATAGCAAAACTTAAGTTTGATTTAACTCCTAAAAATTAGTTATAATCAATCAGCAAACTCAGTTTTTAATCATTCTTTTAAGTAAATAATACAATTAACTTTAAATTAGTTTGATTAAAATATTTTTTTACGATAACTAAAACTCAAGATAATTACAAAAGTATGGAAGGTTATAAGAATAAAGCCATTATTCGAAGCTTGCTTTCATTAGAATACCGGTAAACTAAAAACTTTTTTTTTTAAGTAAATAATAAAGTAAATGGAGAATTTGAGTAAGTAGAATTTACATCTCTTTAATATTATGTCTAACAAGAAACTGTTATAACTATTTTTAAATATTATATAATGAATCTTAACGGTAATATATTAGTTTTAATAAATTTGAAAGCAAAAGATAATCATTTTTTTAATAATTTTTTACGAATATGGTAAATATTATGTAAAAAAAAGTTAAGCAAACTTTAATAGAAAGTTATAATTTAATAGGTTAAACTTTGATAAATTTGAGCGCAAAAGGAGTTAACTTAATTTTATAATGTTTATGACGAATGTTACATATTTAAAAAGCAAACAATAATATAAATAAACACAAAAACTAACGTTTTTTACCAGTTATGAAAAAGTCAAGTGTTTTCTAACATAGTATATACAACCAATAAAAAAAATCATTTTAATAATAAACTAAAAAGCTATTAGATACAAAGTTTAATCCATAATTTAACAACAAATAGAACTTTAAAAAAAAGTATAACCAGTAAATTTTACAATGTTATAAACCTAAAAAGTCTAGTAATTTGATTTTCTAGCCATAAGTTTTCTATATTATAGTAAAAAGTACTTTGTTATATTATTGCTATTTAATTTGAGTGTTCAAATGAATTAAAATACTTTATTTTTAAAATAATATGATCTAAGTTAGGCTAGCAAACAAAATTTTTAATTTTTTTAATAAAATTAAGTGGGCTATCATAATTCTTTTAAAGCTTTTTACTTTATCTGGTCTCACTATCAGAAAAATTCAGTTACAGCATTAGCAATTTTTATATAATCAACAGTTTACGTTATTACCGTAAAATCTGCATTTAAGCGATTTTTATTACAGTATATCGAATAAAACCAGTTTAGCCTTCTACTCTTTTAAGAAATATTATATTTATATATAATAGAAAGCTCACTATTTAATAAAACTAAGGCACTTTTAGAATTTACTATTGAAATTATTATTACAGAAGGATAATCGCCCTCATCTAACATTTCTTTTCCTTAGATTAAATATCAACAACTACCAATTAAAAAAAATATACATATTAAAATAAGTATTTATAAAGAGGCAAGATGGAAAAAAAGAGAAAATAGTTTTATTAAAACCGCTGTCATGTTTTTTTTTTTAGGCGTGCTTTCTTTAGTATTTCCTACTGGAAAGGGGTTTCCAGATCACTGTGAAGGAGATTTTATAGGCCATAATTTTTTGTATTATAATTCTCATATAAATTTTAGTTAAAGTTAGAAAAACTGCATGTAAAAGTCTTTTTTTAATTTTCCTAATAACCTTTTTTTATGATATAAAATAATTTTAATTAAATCTTAAACGGCAAAATTATTTTTCACTTATGTAGAGGATTGGAAAACTGCAATTTAACAAAATTTCCTCCACAAAACACACGATACTCTCTTTGCTTACAATATTTGTAAGTATTAGAAGAAAAGTTATAAATTTTGTTATGATTTTTATTGCTATGCTTACTTTTAATAAAAAAAACTTTAATAAAATATATACATTTTTCATCTATACTTTTGAATGATCGTTTTTTAATGCTTTTATACATAGTTATTTAGTAGTAGAACTTTTTTATGTATATTATTTGTTGTTATTAAGCTAATTTATGTCACTCATATAAAATAGAGAACTACAAAAAAATTCTCTATCTAATATTGAGAAAGGAATATTGTCAAAACTGGGCTCCTTGAAGAGTTTGTAAGTCGAAGAGAAAAATATTTTTACGTTTTTTTATAAAGCTGAATAGCAACCTTAAAATTATTAATATATATATTTTTTATACATATAATAATTATTTTACTTATTATTTTTAATTATTATTATTTTATAAATATAATTTATATTTATAATTAATTTTTATAATTTTATAGATAAAATAATTATTTTATTTATTATTTATTAGTATTTATAACTTTTGTATAAAAAAATATAATCGTTATATAGATATTTTTTCAATAATTATTATTTGGTACACTTTTTTCTTTCATTTAATATAACTATTAATTATTTCAATTATAATAATTTTTAGTACTCTTATATAAAAAAATTAAATTACTAATAATTCTTGTATATCTTAAAAAATAGTTTTAATAATTTTTTTTATACTTATAATAATTAATATATTTTTACTAATAAAGCTTTTATATTTTAAAAATAGTTTTAATATTTCTTTTATACTTATAATAATAATAAATATATAATTTTCTTTTCAAATTATTATTATTTTTAATACTTCTCTATATAAAAAAATTATATTATTATTAAGTATTAATATTTTTAAATTTTTATATATAATATAATTATTATATTTAGTATTATTTATAATACATTTATATAAAATAATTGCTTTATTTATCATTTTATTTATAATTTTTATTATATATAATACGTTATTTAATTATTTTTAATATATTTATATTTAAAATAATTATTATATTTAATATATATTATGAGTTACTATTAGATTTAATACTTTATTTCAAATAATTATAATATTTATTATTTTTAAAATATTATTCGTGTTATTATTAATATATTAATTTTGAATAAACTTATTATTTTAAGTGCTTATATATATATTATGGTAATATTTATAATTATTATCCTTATTATATATTAATAATTATAGGAGAATTGACCAAAATCAACTTTCTACTATAGAAAAAGAAACATTTAAAGGACTCACAAGTTTAACATTTCTGTTAAGTTTATTATATATTTAAAAATAATATTATTTTTATTATTATTACTAAACATATTAATTTTTGGTTTTAAGATCAATATTATTTATATTTATTAATATTATTATTTTTACTTTGAATACTTTTATTAAAGCATTTATCATTATATTAACATTTACTTTAAATACTTTAGTATTACTTTAATTATTATTATTATATTTATATTTACTATTAATATTATTAGTATTTTTATTATTAATTATATATATATCTATTATATTTATTATTACTTTTAATACCCTTATTTAAATTATTATTATATTAATACTTTTAATATTGCTAATATTTTTATTAATATTTAAATTTCTAATTACTTTTAAGGTTATTATTATTACTTGTTAATAGTTTTATTAATATTCATATATATTATTAGTATATTTATATTTACTTTTAATATTTTTGTTGTTATTTAAATGTATTATTACTTATAATACTTTTATTAGTATTTTCATTATTATTTAAATTTATGTTTAGTATATTTATATTTACTTTTGATATTATCAATAATATATTTTCTTATCAGTTATTGATACTTTTTATATTTTTATTAATATTTTCCTTAGAATTAATAATTTTTATAAATGTTATTTATATATTATTATTGGTTTTATATTATATATATAATAAAATTTTTATACGAATATATAATTTTTTATAAATAAAATTAATTAGCACATTGATATAATTTAAATATAATAGATTAATACTTTTTATATTTATTATTTTTTTTCTTTAATACTGCATAATCTCTTATCTATATATTTTTTATGATATAAGATATTTTTCTTTCGTATAGAATTTTATTATAAATAATTTACATATAATATTTATTTATTATTATCATTAACATTTTTTAGTATTATAATTTTTATATATTTATTACATAATATTAAATACTATTATCAATATTTTTTATTGTTAAATGTTTATTAGTATTATTTATGTATCATTTTTATTTTTTTTATATATTTTAAGTATTATCTTTATTTTTATTTAAATTTATTATTATTATATGTTTTATTTTCTATACTATTTATAATAAAACATTTATATTTATAATTCTATTATTATTATTTTTTTACTTATTAATATTATTTTTCAATACTTTTTAATATTTCTTTTATTTTTAAATTTAAATTCGGATTTGACAAAGTTTATTGTTATTAACTTTTTACTTATACATATAATTCTATTTTTATATTTATAAATTTTTTATTCTGATCTTTTTACTTATTAATATTATTTTGTATATCGTTGGGTACCTTTAGTATTTTTATTAAAACTTTTTTATTTATAATTATTTTTCTTATATTATAATATTATATTATTATCTTTTTTCTTCTTATTTTTGTGTTTTTTTTACTATTTTCATTATATTTTAAATATTTCTTTAGATATTTTTATATTTATAAGTATATCTTTTTTGTGTAGTGTATTTATTTTCTATTATATATACTAATTTATTACATTCCTTTTTAATTTTTTATAAAATATTATTATTTTTTATTGTATTTATTATAAAGATTAATATTTTATACTATAATTTTATATATTTTTATATCTTTTTTTAATTTATAAAATATTATATTTTTCCTCTTTTTTTATTATTTTTATCATGAAAATATAATTATTTTATTATTCTTTACTATTTAAATATATTTTTAATCTATTTTTTATTTTTATTAAATATAATTATATTTCTTAATATTTTTTATATATTCTATATAATTTTATATGATTTTATATCTATCTTTACTATTTTATCAAATATTGATTCATTTTTTGGTAAATTATTCTTATTACGAAATTTTATATTTTATAATATTCTTTATATATATATTTATATATAATTTTCTTAAAATAACTACAGAAATCTCGCGCACAACTCTATTCAATCCATCGAGAGCGACAGTTTTTTAGAGCTAACGGCTTTAAAAGTTTTGTATGTCAAATTATTATATAAAAATATAAACTTTTTATATATGAATTTTTATTACATACATTAAAAACTTTTAATATATATATCTAAAAAATAAAAGTTGTTGCCAATTTTTAGAATTTATAATTTTTTATATTTTTATGATAATAATAATAATAATAATAATAATAATAATAATAATAATAATAATAATATAACTTATATTATCCAATTCATTTATATATAAGCTACATTCACGTTAATATTAATTTATATATTATTATTAATTTTACTTATAACTCAATACTTTTTGATATTTTTTCATTTATTGTGGTTTATATTTACAGTATTTATTTATTTATATATTTATAATTTTTATTAATACTATAATAAAAATTATAAAATGCATATAATAATAAAAAGTTAAAAGTGTTATAAAATACAGAAAATAAAATGATAAAAAAAGATAAAAAAGAATAAAATTTTAATTGAAGATATTACGAAAAACTTGTAAGCAAAAAAAAATATAAAAGAAACTTTTTATATATATAAAAATATAAAGTTATATAAATTTTTAAAATAATATAACATTTGTAAACAAAAATAAAATTCTTTACTATAAAATATTAGTAAAGTTTTATTATATTTTATTATTAAGTTGAAATTCTATAACTTTTTTAATATTTTTAAATGATAATAATAATAAATATATAAAAGATGGTTGCAGAGTAACAAACTTCCTTCTGTTAGTAAAAATCTATTCAGTGGGCTTTCTAGTTTGACGAGCTTGTAAGTTTATAAACTTTTCATGATTATTTTTCTTAGTTATAATATTTTATAAAAAAAACTTGTGTTTTTTTTTTTTTATAGAAAGAAACCTTTTCTGTAAAGTTTATTTTTTTTAAAACAAAATTTTTGTTAATGAGTAATACAAAATATAATGAAAACTTTTTATATACAAGAAAATATAATTTTTTTGAATAAATAATAATAATAACGGCTATAATAACAAAGTAATTTCTAAATATTAATAATAATAAAAAAAGTAAACTCTTCAAAAACCCGAAGTTATATTAGTACAAACGGTTATAAAAAGGTTAAATATAATTTTTATTACATAAGTCATATAGATTTTTTATTAAGTAAAATATTTTTGTAAGTAAAATACTAATAGCAAAAGTTATAAAATTTAATAAAATAGTATAATAATAATAATTAATAACTCTAAATTTTCGTAAATAATAAAAATATATCCTTCGATACTAATAAATATATTATTATCGACTATAAAAAGCTATATTTATAATTTTTATTACAAAAACATTAGAAGTTTTTTTGGTTAGTAACTTTTTTTTAGGGAAGAGCTTTTAGTTTCCATTGAGTTTATTTTTTATGAAATATAATTTTATTGTCGATTCTTGAAATAATTTTATTTATACTTGAACGTTTGAATGTTATTTTTTTTAAAAAAATTGTAAAAACTTTTTTATAATTATAAATAAAATTGGTTATTTATATTTAAAAATTTTTATATGACTATAATTATGCTTAAATCTTTTTTTATACTTTTCTTTATATATAAATATAAATTTTCTTTTAAACTTAAAAGTTTAATTTTTTTTTTGAAAAACTTTAAAAAACTTTTTAAAGTTATAAATAAAAGATTCGTTTATATATATATTTTTATCATATCGTATTATAGTTTTATTATTTTTAACTTTCTTTTTATATGAGTTTAAACTTTTTTAACTTTTTTTTATAAACAAATTAAATTTTATAGAGAGCTCTACTCTAACGATATCCATTCCGTAGAGCTAAACGCCTTTGCTATGCTAAAATCCTTAAAAAAATTGTAAGTTTTAATAAACAATAAGAAAAGTTTAGTATTATGATTATGTTAATAATTTTTTTAATTTTCTTTTATTAATATTATATATAATTTTTTAAATATTATACAAGATTATTATTATTCTAATGCTACATAATTTTGTTTAGTAGTAATTTAATATCCCTTTTCTCTAGTATTATTTTTTTTATAAGTATTATTTTTCTATTAGTTGCTCAATAATTCGTTCTTTTTAATTTTTTTTTTAAAAATTGGATTATTATTATTTTAAATACATTTTATATTATTTTATAATTATTTTTTCTATTTACTTGGTGTAATAGATTTTTCTATAAATATTTTTTTATATATACTTTTAGATAATATATATTTAATGATTATTTTCTATTTATTTGCTATATAATAATTTTTTTCAAAATTTATATCTATATATCTAAAAATTATATTATTTTTATTATTATTATAATTATTATTATTTTTCTATTTATTTTTTATACTATATTTATAATATATCTTCATATACAATAATATTATTTTTATTAAGTTTTAAATATCTGTTTTAATTTTAAAATAATTTGTATTTTTAATATTTTTAATGTATTTACTATTATTTTTCGTATTTATTAGATCTTAATATTTAATTTTTTCAAACCGATTATTGTTATTAACGATTTATTTATTATTAGTTATACTTGATTTGGAAAGTTATTATTTATTTTTATATTATTGACATTTTCTATTTCTCAAATAAAGTCTATTAAATATTTCTTATTAACTTTTAATATTTTTTTTCTATTTGATATTTATATATATTTACTTTTATTTTTTATTTTCTTTTCTGAAACTTTTATTATGACTTAAACAAAAATATTAAAAGCTTAATTATTATTAACAATTTTTTTTATATTGAAGTATTGGAAAAAAGTTTATGTTCCGAATAATTTTTTTTTTTAGTTTATTATTTTTTTAAAAAAAAACTTCTTATTTTATATTTTATTATAATTGTTATTATTACTATTATTAATTACTTTTAAAGAGTTCTCGGCTATAACAAACTTACCAAAATCAAAAAAGAATACTTTAAAAAGTTAACAAATTTGGAATTTTTGTAAGTTTATTATTATTTGTTTAACAGTTATATTATTTTTTTTTTATTCTATAAATAAATATTTTTCATATTATTTCAAATATTATTTATTTTTATAAAAAATTTATTTTCTTTATTTTTTTTTATATATATTCATTTTTATTTTATTATTTATACAAAATATATTTTATTTTTCCTTTATTAATTTTTATATTTATATTATATGTAAATTTCAGTTAATTTATTATTATAATAAAAATAGAACATTTTTATATATAAACAGACTTCTTATGTTATTTTCATAATTATTTTATTATTTTTTTGTAATATTTATACAAAATATATTTTCTTAATTTTATTATTTACTATTTTATATATTATATGCAAATTATAATTTACGTATTATTATTAATATAAAAATATAATATTTTAAAATAAAAATAACTTTTTTCGTTATTTTTATTGTTATTATAATTATATTATTTTTAATTATTAACATTTTGTGTATTTTTATATATTTTTATTTGCTTCTTTTAATATTTTCCGTGAATTTTATTTTCTTGACGAGATTAAAAAGTTCAAAAGTTTTTTTTAATTATATATAATTTAAATATCAACTTTTCTTAATACTTCTATGAAAAGACGCATGTGGCACTATAAAGATAACAAATTCTTTTAATTTATATATTTATGATCACTATTAAAACTTTACTTTCGAATATTCGCTGTGGAGCACTTATTAGTAAGGATAAGTAGTAATAGACGCAATAATAAATATATTTTCATTATAATAAAATAATAAACAGTAAACCGTAGTATATTATTTATAATAATAAAGCTTAAATTAGTGAAAGTTTTTCCACTTATTATTTTTTATTTGTACTGTGTTATATTCCAATGTTTTATTATTACTATTTATATAAATATTTTAATATTTATTCATTATAAGCATTTTATATAAATTAGTATATTCTTATTTTTTTTTAAAAATGTTATGTTTGCTTTCTTTATATATTATTTATTTATTATAATTAAAAAAAATTTATATATTTTTATAAATAATTATTATAAATCAACTTTAAATTAATAATAATTTATAAAAAAAGTTTAATATTTCTACTTTTTTATTCTTTGTATATAAAATTGTTTTACTTAACATTTTTTTTAGATAATAATATTATTATTTATACAAAAATAGCATTCTTTTTTTCTTTACTATTGTTATTATATTAAAATACTTATTTCATTATTTATTATTATTTATATCAAGTTTAATATTATAAATAGTATAATCGTTGCGTGGAAATATTTTTATTTCTCATGTTATTACTACTTATACAAAAATATATTTTTTTCTGTCTTCCTTATTATTAATTACAGAACATAAAAGTTTATAATTAGTAATATTCGAATCTTTTCGTGGAAATACTTTTATTTTTATCTTTATAATTATTTTTTATACAAAGATACTTTAATTTTGTTTCATATTATTATTAGCACTATTATTATTATTATTGTTAATAATTATTATTATTATATATTTTTTTGGGCTATTTTTATTATACATTAATAATTATAGATATCTTTTCTATTAAGTATTACTATTATTTATTATTATATTAATAAAAGTTTTGTTATTATGTTTTTCTTTATTATTATTATTTATACAAAAATTCTTTTAGTTATTTATTTATAATTATTTTCTGATACAAAAATACATTTAAATTTTTGCTTTATTTATATAAAAATACATTTAGTTCCTTATTTATTTTTATTTTTCATACATAAATATATAAAGATATATTGTATTTCTTCAAAATTATATATATATATATATTTATAATTGTTAATATTATAAATGGTGCGTGTAGAGGCTTAAGCTATAATCAAATCGATTCGATTGAAAACGAATCTTTTTCGGACTTGACTGCGTTGAAATTTTTGTATGTTATTTATTATTGGATCTTTTTCATATAAATAATTAATTTTTTAGTATTTTTTTTACTTAGTATTATTGTTACTTATTTTTTCATACTTTTATATTTATTATTATTATATTATTATACAATTTTTTTTGCTTATTAATTTTATTATTATTATTATATTATTTTTTTTTAGTATATTCTTACTTATTATTTTTATTATTTTATTTATTTTTTAATATTTTTTTTACTTATTATTATTATATAACTTATATTCTTATTATTATTATAATAATTTTTTCATATATTAATATGTATTTTATTTTATTATCTTATTATTAATTTTTAAAATTTTTTTAATCATTAACGTTACAATTATTATATTATTTTTTATTTGTTAATATATTTTAACTTATTTTAAGTATTATATTATTATTTACTTTTCAGTTTTTTTAATTTATTATTATTATATTATTTATTTTTAGTATTTTTTTACTTATTATTATTAAATTATTAAATATTTTATAATACTTTTTTACTTATATTTTATTATTATAATATCATTTATACTAATATTATATAGAGAACTGCGAAGCAATAATGTTAAATTTATTCATAGTGAAATGTTTAAAGGACTTTTTAACTTGAGTGAACTGTTAGTTTTATATATTTTTTTATTAAAAAATAAAAAAATAGAAAATATTAATGTATTATAGATATTATAATAATAATATTTATTAAAAATAAATATAATAATAATTAATAGTAAAAGTTATTATAAAATATATTATAAATACACAGCAATAAGCAAATTTTATAATCAAATAAATAATAAATATATATTTAAAGTAATGTGTATAGATATTATATAATAATATAAAGTAAAAATTATAATATATATGTAATATATAATATTAAATGAAAATAAGTAAATATTGTAATATAAATAATAAATATATATTAAGAGTAAATATATATATATAAAAAAATAATCTATAATAATAAGTCAATATAGGAATATAGTCAACAATAAATTAATAGTAAAATAAATATATTTATAATAAAAATAAGTAAATAAGTAATATATTTATATATATTATAAAAAGAAATTAAAATATACAATATTTTATAAAGATATAAAAAATATTATAAACAAAAGATAGTAAACATATACATAAATTGATCTATAATAGTAATTATAATAATAATCAATAATAAAAGTATATAATATAATAAAATAAATGTATAATCGTTATTATAAAGTAATTATTATGAAATAAAATAATAGTAAAAATAGTAAAATAATAATTAGTATTTATACTTCTATAATAATATAAAAATCATAATAATATATACAAGAAAATAAATAATATGTAATAAATAAAAACAATATATATTATAATAATTAATAGAAAAAAATATTTAATTCTAAAAATAAATAGTAAAAAGATATAATTTATAATGAACAGTATATTTTACAGAATAAACTGATATTATAATAAATAAATGTTAACATAAATTTATTATAGAATATAAAGTATTCTATAATAAAAATAAATAAAAATCAAATTATGTTAAAAATAGTTACACACAAATAATATATATAAAAATATATAAATAAAAATAAAAAAATATATAATATAAAGAAAATAAATAATATAGTAATAATAGATCATAATAAATATTATAAATAAAAACAAACAATATGTAATAAAATATTAATCAATAACATGTACATTTATAATATATCCAATAATACCATCAATAAATATATAATTTTTTATAATAAAATATTTATAACAAAGTAAACATTATATAATAATAAGTGATATAAATGATACACAATTATAATAACAATTACTCTAAATTAATAAAATAAAAATTAAAAAAATTATATAATAATAATAAAAGCAATATATAAATATTATAAAATTTATAAATACATGTTAAGAATAAAAATAAAATCCCAAAATTATAAAGTTTAATAATAAAATTAA